TTATTCCTTCGACTTGATATATTTTCAACGTTCAGGGGTTTACACACTGAATTTCACTTATGTGCCTCATATTGTTTATAGCTTACAGTAGGAACCGGCGAATTTTTATAGGGAAAAGGGAAGCTTTGCTTTCGTGAGTGGCCATTTGCTTACTTTTCTGGTAGTTTTATCTCTCATCTTTTTTCATGTTTGGTGACTACGCAAAGGCTGAAGGCTTGAAATTCTGTTAACAACGATTGTGGCCGCTTTGTTAAAAACCAAATGCAATGGCCGCTTTGCTAAAAACAAAAGATATCAAGAAACGGGCGAGGAATATTTCACAATAGTGCAAATGATCGTGAAAGATGAGGGTTACTAATATTTTGCTGCCAGAGCAACATTTGATACCTGATTATGCCCACTCAGCCCATTCTCCGCCCCACAAACACACACACCAACAAAAAGGACACTGTCTGCCTAATGACCTCTGCTCATCCCACCTCCAGCCCACACCACCTTTTTTCCAATGCTCATCACACACCTGCCTAAAAATAAAATGAAATTTATTCCGTAAGTCTTGAAAGTTGAATTCAGCTGTATCTAAATTCAACAAGTCCAAGAAATCAATACAAACTTACAGTGAGGACACTCGAACCATGAACACCTAGGGTGCTTTCCTCTGGGAGGATCCGGATTTGGATTTGTAATCCAAGATCACAGATCACGATGCATGAAAGGAACGGAGTTTTAGACGAGCTCTCAGAGAATTCCAAGAAGTGCGCTATTTTAAGACTTGTGTATGCACGTGGGTTATTGAGCTCTTCCCTGAATGGCTTGTCTAACTGCACGGGCTTTTAAGCGCACAATTTTTCTAATTAGAGTATTCATTAGAAGCACATTTTTTCATGGTAAACTCAAACGATGTAATTAAAACAGAAGCAAGTACTAATTACGATATGGATACTTGGGAACCCTAAATGCCTTCGATCAGTGGCCAATCAATTTCACATTACAAAATCGATTTTACTTCGTGTTTATCGCAGAATTTGTGAAGCTATTGCCAATAATCTTTCCGGTCAATATATGAAGTACCTACTTGTTTGAAATTGAGCACCGCACCAGTACCCATATTTCCAGCTAGAGGAGGTGAGGCACTTTCGAGCTTACAGTATCTTGCCCAAGAACACGATGCAATGCTCCAACGTTAGAGACCAAAACTGGACTGCTTAATGTCGAGTCCAGTGCACAACCATCCAGTCACCATGCCTCCTCCTCTGATCCTTATAACGGGAGTGGAGTAAATGGGGTCAATCAGGAAGGGTGGAATGTAGGATTTAAATTAATTAAAGACACGTCTATAATTATTTTTAGGTTTTTGGCCGCTTGTCGACCAATTTAATGACACTTTTGCTAATGCAAATTCATTATTTTTCTGGTAATTTTATGTTAACAACTGAGTTGAAAACGTAAATTAGGCACTGTAAAGGGTAAAAAAGCTGACGTTTCCCTTCGTTCGCTCTGACGAAGGGCTAACGCTCGAAACGTCAGATTTTTTACCCTTTACGGTGGCTAATTTACGTTTTCAACTCAGTTGTTAACATTAAATTACCTGCTATACTCTCCCACCGACGCAGCGCCACATTTTCTTTAGAAGTTATATACCGTTGCCCGTGGGCAGAGATAGGAAAATACGGACCGCACAAAGAACCAATCAGATTGCAGGATTCGTTACCGTGCCCTCTGAGAAAAAAAAAGAAAAAACTGCAATAAGGATGAATCTTAGGTGAGCTGGTGGTGGTAATACAGTTTGGTAAGCCTATTCATACACCAATTTCAATTAATGTTGCTTTGTCGTTTGTGAAACATAGTCCTTTGTGCATCGTGGGTGGCTTGATCTCGCTTCTGTTTCAAAGGTAATCAAATTAAACGAATTATTGCAAGTAACATTCAGAGAAAATTACTTAAAACAAATTTGGATATTATTGGTTGTCCAAATGTGGATAAATGAGCTACCCATGATGCACTAAGGACTAGGTTTCACATAGGGCAAATAGCAATCCAAAGCAACATTAATTCAAATATTTGTGTCAAGTTTGGTTGTTATACAATGTGTTCTTTTTGGAGATATTGAATTTTTTTATGTTTGATGACATTATGAACTAAAACTGGAGTGAGCAAGCAAGTGACACAATTGCATATCAAACCCCACTACAAGGAACATTTAAAGGGGGGGAGGAGAGTTTAAAGACTATTCAAAATTTATTCCCTCTAGCAAAAGAAGAAGTAACAAAAGGGAACACTGAAAAAGTTGGCATTTTTGGGAGTTCAAAAATGCCTCAAAATACAAGATTATCGATTCACTGTACGCACAGCTACCGGGATAGATTGGGTTTGCACAGCCTGTCAGTTTTTTTTTCAGGTGGCTAAGAGTTCCAGAATATCTATGAATGATGAGTTGTCAGCCGAAATTCTTGAGTCGTTAGGGTTCAACCCTTGTTCGACCCATTGCCGTTTTTAAATGTAATACTTATCGGAGCTCAATCTAACACTTAAAGATAACTATACTCAGTTTACTGTATTATCAATCGCTACAACTGACTATAAGCATTCTCAGTGAAAAGGTTAATGAGCTTGTGTCTTCTTTACTGGTAAACTTTGACGGTAGATGACTTTTCTGTTTAAAACACCTTTAAGTAATCTCTAATTTTTGTTTTAAAATAGGAATTACCTGGTGATGATTCCATTCAAAACGAATCATCCATCATGGAGCCCCAGCCAATGAAGTGCCAGAAACTTTAAGTCTCGAGTTTGAAATTGTGAAGGATTCTATTAGGAGGGGTCGACCAAAGCTGATAGACAACTGTGGATATTCATATTTTAGGTTTTAATATAATAATAATAGTAATCAATTGCAAAGTAAGAGTTGAGATGGCAACTGTAATCAAAGTTAGGTAATAAGCTTTTCAAGAGCTATGTGTAGTAGCCTTGTTTCCGGTACCCCCTAGATTCAATTCGTTTACATAACTATGAGTAGAAATCTTTTTAGCGTGCATATAGACTCCGAAATATATAGTTCAATTATAAAGGAAGTAATGTAAAATATATATAGTTCAATTATAAAGGAAGTACTGTAAAATTTATAATTTTGACTCGTCTTTACTGGTTTTGTGCTTTCTCTCTCTTGTACCATTGTGAGCGATGCGCGGGCTCGATGATAAACACGATGATATTTTCCTATGGCCAAGCAGCATTCGTTGTTTGTACAATCGTCCTCTAGCAGTTTAGCGTTTGTAGCTAACTCTGTCAAATCGCAATGGGACCCCACTCGGGCACTTGTTTGGCTAGGTTTAAACTGGGATTTAATTACTAGTTATATTTCTATTACTGATAGAAGCATGCGCATTACCAATTTCATTGCTCTCATCGACAAATTTCTCCTATCCGCTCCCTATGTTACGACTCGGGATCATGCCGCTATCGCAGGTATTCCATGTCTATGTCGCCAGTTTTGGATAACTTGACTCGTCTCAAAACTTGCTTTCTCTATAAGGTCATTGAATCCATGCCTAGATAGGATTCCCGCTTCAATATCGGGCTTCATAATGATTGCCTTTAGGAAATATTTTTGTGGAAAAACAATATTGTTAGGCTTAACTCGACAGCTATTTGACCTTATAAGGCTCCCCTTTTAATTACCTATTCGGACCCTAGCAGTGTCGCCTGTGGGACTTATGTTGTTGGTACTAATGAAGTGTCTCATCGCATGTGGAGCGTTCGAGAAGTTGATAAAAGCTTTACATGGAGAGAACTTAAGGCAATACATTTTGCTTTAATCTCATTTAAGCTTTAGTGCCTTAAATGGCGTTCCGACAACCAGGGGGCTGTTCGTATCGTGGATGTAAGGAGTCCCAACGCAGAATTTCATTTGTCGAACTTACAATGCACTTATGCCTCAATGGATTCCCCAGGAACTTAATGTTTCTGCTGATGCTATCAGTAATATCGTACATTTCGATGACTGGTTTACTACCCGGTGGTTCTTTGACAGGTTTGCGAACGCTACCTACACCCATCTTCCCAGATTTAACTCCAGGTTTTGCGTACCAGGCGCTGAAGCTCTTGACACTTTTTCAATTTCTCTCGGAAGGGAGAGAATAATTGGCTAGTCCCTCCAGTGCATTACATTATTCGGATGATCCAACATCTCCTTGTATGCGGTGCTGTCGGTATTTTGGTCGCTCCTTATTGGCCGTCGAATGCGTTTTGACCTTTCTTGTCTGCAAGTGCGGTTGGAAGCCAACCATACGTTATTGCATCCATTTGTTTTTCCGACACTTCAAGGATTTTTGCCCTCAGGTGTTTTGAAGACTCGCTCCTTGATTCCGACAGATTCAACAGCGCGGTGCTGCCAGTCAGAATTGACGCTACGGGCCTTAGAGCCTGGAGGCCGAGTGCCTTTACTCTGGTTCACGAGTTCTAGCTCTCACAATTTATTTCTTCATGTTTCACAGGAAAATAATTTTCCAGGTGGGTTTTTCCCCTGGGTTTTCCTATTGGTTTCTTCCCGCCGGTTTTGTTTTTCAGCGGCCATTATGATCGCTGTAGTTTACTGATTTGCATAGGGTTTTGTAGTACACTTTTTCTTCTTGTCCTTGTCGATGTTATCAAAGATGCCTTGCAGCCTAATTTTGAGCAGGTTGAGGACAGTCGACTCAAGGTACTCGGCGGGTTCAAGCTCTCCCCGGCGTTCTGCTCAAATCCAAAGCCGCCAGTACTGCGAAGAAGTACGAAAAGGGTTTCATTATACTTGGAGAAAATTTGCTTCACAATTTAGGGAGATTGTAATATTTCCCCCCTCCATTATTTTTATTCCATTGTGTTTTCTTATTTCAATTCGAAATTCTGTTTCGTGTCGTTTTATTGATGAAGTTCATTATGGTCTTAAATGGGATCATGATTAAGCGGGTCAGCCCGCTCTGTGCAATTCCCCGTTGTTGGCTCCTTCAATTGAATCCGCCAAAAGGCTTCTCAGCGTTCCTGTTAAGAAGAAGGAACCAGTGACTCCTGAGGTTATTCAGCGGTTATTTGCTTATTATGGCTCCTCTCCCGCCAGCTTATCTGATTTACGAGTGCTCACTTTGTGTATTTTAGATTATGCAAGATTTTTTCGCATTAAGGAGTTGGTTCGGCTACGCGAGTGTGATTTTCAGTTTGAAGATGCTTTCATGATAATTTTTGTTCACCGTAGTAAGACTGGTGTCCACTGGGAAGGAGCTTGGGTTGTTATTGCTAAAACTTAAAAGCTTACTTGTCCTTATTTGTTAACCCAGCGATACTATTGAGTTGCTTCCTTTTCAGATGAGAGTGACGAGTTCATTTTTCGCCCGCTTTCTTTCGCGGCTCTTCCTCTTTGTCTTCTACTAGAGCACGTGAAATAGTGTTAAGCACTTTCGTGTCCATTGGCCTTCCGAAAAAAGATTATGGTTTACATAGCCCTAGGACTGGAGGCGCCTCTGCGACTGCTAATGCCTGAGCCGCTGATCGACTATTTAAAAGACATGGACGCTGGAAATCCGACAAGGCCAAAGATGGCTTCATTAAGGATAATATCCAATCTTCTCTGTTTCCTTAATTGTTCTTGAGTATTTTAATTTCCTTTTTTCATCAGCAGAGAACTTGTATATGTACTGCGTTGCTTTCATTCATATTCATTCGCGTCATACGAACGTCACTGCACCCTCAATATTAAATACCGAATCAGTGAGGGTTGTCAGTTTTTCACATACATATTTTAAAAGAGTATGCAAAAGAGTCAGTGCATTTATTGTATAATCAGTCGTTTGCTTGCTGTATTTTGAGCCTTCCAGAGTTTCTTTGATTTTGCTGCCAGTTTTTCATATACATATTTACAAAGAATATGCATGAGTGAGCGCGTTTTTCATATACATATTTTCAAAGAGTATGCATAAGAGTCAGTGCGTTTATTGTATTATTAGCTGTTTGCTTGTTTTATGTTGAGCCTTAAGAATATTCCGTTGCCCTTTGCGGTCTGATGCGCCGGCACCAAAAATGTCGTCATTTTTTTAAGGTGGAAGTGGTGGTGGGGCTTGAGGCTGTTATAACTACATTATTTTAATGCTCTCGTAAAAACAATATCTCGTGCTTGTCTATTTCTCCTCTTCCTCTTCTCGAAAAAAATATAAACAGCAAATCGAGGTTGAACGAGGCACAGGCCAAGGCATAGATAGTCAGAGCTGTGACAGCAATTTTTTACATAACAAAGTAGGGATGAGAGGAGCACGCTCCCTACGTAACACTACTTCTTTTGTGAACAGAAGGCTCGCGCTGTTAGAGATGTCATCATTAAAACACTTGGGTTACCTGTTTGGAAAACCTCCTTATGCACTCAAGCAGTTACCTTGTAAGGTCTTTTTTAAATACTCCTGCAGACCTCAGGAATTTGTGCTAGCACATTGAGTGAAGATAGGGGAACATCTGGGTATAAGCCAGTCAGTGAATATGGGGGACAACCCTCTGGAAGAGGAACATCTGGGTACAAGCCAGTGACGTCATTTGCCAGCTATAAGAAAGTGAAAGGTAAAGAATGGAAATCAATTGTTTCAGAGACTGGTCAGGAAGAAAAGAAAAAAATATACAATGTTGTTATCAGTGTTGGTCTTATGGAGTGGATTGAAAAAGAACAGGTTCTTAAAGTCAAAAAGAGGAAAGAAGATGTCTTTACGAGTGTCGCCAAGTATGAGCTACAATGCTCTTCGCAATCAAACAGAAGAGAAATGGAACAACTTCCACAGCAATTCATATGAGGAGAGTCAGCCGTATAACTTAGTATACGAAGATGGATCCAAAAATCTCTTTCTGAGAGAGAATTACTTACATTAAGCAGATATCAAGAAGAAGTAGGAAAAGATTTTTAACTTTGACTTTGAGATATCCGAGTGACTTAGCGATTTCAGAAAAGATGTTGACAATGTTTTGAATACTACAATAGAAGTTGAGAAACCTGCTGAGCATGCAAGGTGCCACAATGCCACTGGTCTCACAAAAGACGCCAGTGAGAGTGCAAATCAGACTGAAGTTGATCGTCAGCTTGCCAGTAAAATGCAAGAATTGTACAATAATGAGGGTTCTGGTGGGCTGCAAAAGACACATGATGAAATCAGTGAAAATCGTAAAGAGGATACCGGTCCAGAAGTGGTTGACTCATCTTCAGTGGTAACAACCTTAGCTGAGATGGTGGAAGAGAATGGCCGGCTATTCATCGGTGTCAGGAGAGGTTCGCTGTTAAACAGGGTGCTTTCCATGTGGGATAGAGAGAAGAAGAAAAACGTTGCCTAACCACACCCGCTAGTTAAAGTTCATTTGAGTGTGGAAGGGTAGGATTGACTCAGGAGCAATGGCTAAGTTTTTACATCAACTCTCCCTAACATTAGCTCTGTTATATTCCCTAGGTACATGCCTTTTGATTCAACTTTTCATTTCCAGAATGGTAACTTCAAAGCTTCAAAGCCTCAATGCTTATGGTTTGGATAGTATCATCCAAACTCACCCATGCAGAAGCTAATAAGCTAACCATAAATGCAAAAAGTCAAACTTTGTCATCTTTAGACCGTCATAAAAGAAGCTCAGCTATCAAATTAATATAAGGATATACAATAATGCATTCTTGAATGCAAAGATTAGGTAAAGTTCTTGGGAGTACTAATGGATAAAAAGTTAACCTGGAAATATTATATCGACTTTATTGCCTCTAAAAATTAGCAGAGTTGTTGGAATTATTGCGCGATTAAGGTACTTCGTTCCTTTTAGTATTTTAATCCAAATGTATCGTTTTCTGATTTTCCCTTGTACATACTGCACAAGTTTATCTGAGGAAGATCTTTATCTTACAGACACAGGCTCTTCGGCTAATGTTCTTTGCGGGTAATATATCTCATGCTATTCCTTTGTTTGTCTCAGCCAATGTTTTACCCTTTAATATGCTTTATTTTGAAATAGTATGTTCTCTTATGCATGATATGTCTAACAACTCTGCCCCTCATCGTATCTGTGACCTTATTACCCTTTCATCCGACGTCCATTCATACAACGTTAGATTTCGGATGCTGGTAACTTATCAGTTAATAAATCAAGACTGAGTTTTGACCTAATTAATAAAGTAAATGCAGTGGCTTGAGCCGTTTGAGGTAACTATCTTCTGGAACGAAATGCCTTTTTAGAGGGCGCTTTTCGCCACACGTGTCTGGCGAAGTCTATTAAAGGGCTTTCCAAAGGGCAGTATACGTATTCAAAAAGTATAAGAAAGCGGAGTTGGCAGGCTTAGAACTCTCTTTGAGTTGATGCATACAAGAAAGTCATTACGGCTCAATGCTCTAGCAAGAGACATGGTCCAAAACTTGACGATGGAGGCGCCAATGTTCGAATTTGGGAAATGTTCCAGTTAACACAAGGTCTATTTCTCTTCACTGTATAATGAGTTTGTTACCCTCCAAAAGTTCCATGAAGGGACCTTCACAAAGTACATCAATAACACTGGCAGCATCTTCGAGCAAACCAATGAGGAGCCGTGTTTGAAGGCAGAGACGTTTGAGCATTTTTATATACAATAAATCCAATGAGCACCTAATGGTTACGGATATCAAGGGAGTTGGTTATTGTCTTTGCGACCTTGAAATACCGTCAGTACAGCAAGTGTATGTAGAAGACAATTCTATTTTCTTCTGCACAGGCAATCTTTCTACTGTTACAATCAAAAACTTTAAGTCGGTGTATCATTGCAATAAATATTACAACCTCTTGAAACTTAAAAAATTTTCTGAGTGAGTCAACACAGTCGTACTGCTTATACCTGGTGGAGGGGGTGCTGTGGCTTCACTCGCAGTTTAGGCGATATGCATCGCCAACTGGTGCAATGCAGCTTTGTATTGCTCTTTTCTTGAACCCTGTAGACACCTCCATGATTTATTAGACAGGAAAGGGTATTAACTTTCTGCTTTCTGTTCTGTTTCTTTCTGTTGTTTTCCTTTCTATAAGGAACAATGTTAAAGTTGAGGTTCAGGTTATGTTACAGGTTGTCTATCACCATGTCACGTGGCACATAAGGTCGGCTCCTGCATCATCTTTGTTTGAGGTTCTTTTTCAAGGTTCATGTTCAAGGCTTAATTTATTGCTCGTCAAAATTGTTATTGTGTAGCTTAGTATTCAGAGCAAATCTTCACAGCACACATGTTAAAAGCTGCAACTATCTATTACTCACAGGTTGCCTTTTACAGAAAGCATCTGCAAAGCTTCATTGCAGTCCTGTTTACTAACATATCCTGCCACCACCAGAGTCAACAAATATGCAAGAAGCCGGCCATGATTTCCATTTAGTTATAAAAATGTTAACAGTTTTGGAAAGACATCTATGTACAATTTCTCTTCAAAGTTTCATACTGTTACTAAAGCTGTGAGTATGTAAATTTATTTCTACCACTGTACTTCATTTAAAGTTCAAACATTTAACGAGAGCTTCGACATACCCATTTAATCTTTTTTTTCAACCTGAAGTAAAGGGTTTCAAATCATATATTCTCCGATTAAGGACGCACAATTCTGCCCCTATGGGAGAATGACGTAACCAAACTTACAGGTGAGTCAGCAAACAAACTTATCAAAGTAATGGTAAGGGAAAATGATGAAGTATTTGACCGTTAACAAACAGACAATAATTTCACAAAAGTGCGTTGCAAAATCAGTTCAAACCTGTACACTGCTCAGCAGAAGGAGTGAGAACACTAAGCCGTTTCCTCTCCTGCAATAAGAGTCATACCAAAGAGGTGCTTCCAGCAAACAAAACCTCTGTTACACGTACTAAATGCGGCCTCACGCAATTTACTAGTAAATGCAAGAAAAGATTTTATGCAACAGCCGAGTTTACCTCTCAAACAAAAGACACATTAACCATAAATTTGTTTGGGGACTATACCATCTCATTTCAAAGGGTTATTTAGATATAAAATATGACATTTTTAACTCAGTTTGTAATCCAACCCAGTATAACTACAGCGGCTAAAAATTTTGTAGATCATCTAGTAGAGGAGCGAACCTGCAGCGAGTGAATCAAGGCAGCTATCCTAATTCAGTAAATAGATATATTGGCTGCAAAATTCGAAATTTGTTTTTTACCACAATGTGGTTATCTGAAAGAAAGAACAGTGGAAACAGGAAATGTTCCTGTTTAGAACCAGGGTAAGTTTATTGATAACGACCCTAAATGTTACACCCTTAGGGTCAAGAAAGGCGTTCACATAAGACTTTCATTCCAATAACATCAATAGGGATAACAGCATCAAAGTACCTGAAAGCAAGAACGGCCACAATCAGACAACAAAACAGCTGATCAACAACAAAGAGGACCTGTGGGAGAACAAAAGCTGCTTGTCGGAGTAATAATGAGGATCGAAACGCACCAATGACAACACACCAAAACGTACCAATGACCACAAACACAGGTGCTACAAACAGCGACACCTAAAGCTTTCGACCTCTTCGCCTGACCAAAACTGGCAGTCGAAACGTCGCGATCAACTCATATTGATAGCCTGGCTCTATAACGTGAGCCAAGCGATAGAACATCTATTAATATCTCATTCACCTCGATGAATAAAAACATATTCTTTATCATTCAACAATGGTTTTCTTCCTTCTAGCTATCCCAAAGTGCAACATTCCATTTTTACCACAATGCAGTTCGTGCTTTCACATGAAATTTCAGAACCTTTGGTCTGATTTAGTTTGTGTCATGCTTTGACTTATTATTATATTAAATTCCGTGAAATATGAGTTTCTTTTTCATATTTCGAACTAATAATTATGGTTAAAAGTGCATGCTTAAATCTTTCATTTTGTGCCTTTAAATTGCCTTTGATCAATTTGAGTTTATTGCATCTTTATCAACAGATCTAAGATTTTGTGTTAATAACATACTGAGGGAAAATGGTATCGAAGGGTGTGATGACAAGATGACAACAATCTCGTCACAATAGACAACGAAAAAAATCAATACTATTTTACAAAATTTGTCACTATTTTCACAAGATGTTAATGATAGTCAATTTGCATGTCTTGCAAAACGAGGCGTTTGAGAACAGAGTACGTAGCAGTTTTTGAAAATTTTCTTTTTATCTTCCGTGAGCTATTATGCATTTCAATAAATTATTATATAAGGAAAAACAATTTTAGGCAGCGCTCACTAAATGTCAATTAGGCTAATTTAAAAGTTTATTAAGTTTTCATTAGTCTATAATTTTTTGTTCTTCCAGAGGGCCACAGGTCCACGACCCTCGTTAAATAATTGATTGATTAATTGACTGATTGACAAGAATCAGGACGCCTATTCGTGTTGAGAATTGGCTTTGCGAAATGTCCTATTGACGGCGAGCGTGTGTTTTTGAAAGGGTTTAAATTGAATCCCATTAAAAAAAAATGTGAGCAGGTAAAAGTTAAGAAAACTTCGCTGAAAGATACATGTAACCTAGACCCAAATCAACAAACAAGAGAGCTGGCCTATTTTCTTTTTCTTGTTCTGTAGAATGTATTCCACATACAAAACCAACGGCTGGACAACTTCGTGAGAGAAAACATCCGGCTACAACAGGATAATGCTTTGCAAAGAGCCACAAGTGCGGTTTTTCACACGAAATTATCGAAGTAGAAAATGTACAAAAAGTTATTCAAGCAAAAGCTCGTGGGAAAAGATTTAAAGATGAAAGAGATGCCACGGAAACATAAACGGTCAAAATAAAAGAATACCAGGAATATTATCAGAAACGCTAAAATCTGCGAGTGGGTTTTTGAATTCTTGGCAGCCCTTACTAAAAGATGCATCACGAGCTATGATATCAACAGAATAGCCTGGTCTCACTTTCCTCCTAAAGGTAGCCCACAGAGCGCTACTTATGCAACCTTGGTGATAAGGATGTTCCAACGAGAAGAGGTGTCTCCCATTTGTTGGAGATTTGTGGCATACATCACAGCGGCATTGAAAAAACCGTCTCGACTCACTTCTACCTCCATTTCCTCTGTTCCTAATATCCTTACCGCGCTTCACCCTCGATAAACCCGACCTTGGGTGAAGTGAAGAAACTTTCATCCCATCACGTTCAGGATATCATGTCTTTATATCTACCATCAATTTTCGAGCATTGTAGGTCCATTTAAATGTCAAGAAGGTAATATTTAGTGGATTTATGGATGAAGATCAACAAACAGAAGGTAGGGGCTTTTTGGATGGAGATCAAGTGAAATATTGCAAGAACCTTGCGAGCTACTTGACTTGAGCTTTTCCTTCATTTAGCTTAAAGATTCCCCATGAGAGACAACGCCTCTTCCAATTTCTGTCAATTTATGACAGCAATGGCCTAAAGCTTGTATACATTCTCAATACTCTTCTTTGGTATAATCGGGCCTCAGTTATCATGACTTCTCGATTATCCGAATTTATTTGTCTAGTCCCATTTCTTTGATGAATATTTACAAGGCATGATGAAGATCCCTAAAAACTATGATTATGAATTATTTCTAATTAAGATTTTAAGGTCTAAGTTATAGTTATATAGAAAAAGGTTTGTTTCCTTTCGAAGAGAAAAAGTTTCGACCAGAGATTTTGGCATAAAGTTGAATTCCACGATGCAGTAAGCTATTGCTCTTACCCTTAATTCCAACTTCTAAATTGTTTCAGTTTCATTTTGTCTCGTTTAATTAATATTTTCGACTACCTCGACTCTCGATTATCCGGGCTATTTACTCCAGTTCCTACAAGTCCGGATAAGCGGAGTTTGACTGTATTAGACTTCATCTGAAATCAACAAATATCAAGAGCAACATGTTATTTAGAATAGAACACGATTTAAGCTGTCTGCAGGGAACTAAGCTCGTTCTAAGCAAGGCATCACCTAAATCTTTTTTGAAAATAGCATGGTATTCAAACTAACAGGTAATCATTTTTGAACTCGTATTGCAAAAGTTTACAAGATGTTTTCCTTACTAAAAGCTTACATAAACCTTTATTAAGTGTATTTCTAATTGAAAGCCTTTTTTTTACGATAGACAAAACAATGAAGTTTCAAACTCATTGAAATTGAGTTACTGTTCAGCTTCAACCTCACCAGATCGTGCTCAAAACGTGGGTTGCTTACGCGGCTCACATCCATTAGCCCACGTGAAGCCCTCGTGCAGTGCCTAGCCGTGTGCCCGTGGTACGCTACACTGAAGCTCGAAACTCGAGAATGCGCACTTCATTGTCATCTATCCAAGTTACGCACGCAATCGCGCCTGCGCATTACCTTCTCCCTCGTCCTTCCATTACGTAATGGCTAAGAGGTACAGTGGTACAGTTGGCCGCGCATGCTAAAAGTAGCACCTTGTACGGTCGGTCGTACGGTCGCACATCCAAATTTTTTCGGCTTGATAGGTTACTACTATTTCGTATAATTAGCTCCGCTATAAAGAAGTGAAAGGTAAAGAATGAAAATCGAGTGTTTCAAAGACTGGTCAGGAAGAAAAGGAAAAAGCATAGGATGTTGTTATCAGTGTTGGTCTTATGGAGCGGATTGAAAAGGAGCTGGTTCTTAAAGCCAAAAGAGGAAAGAAGTTATCTTTATGAGTGTCGCCAAATGTGAGCTACAATGCTCATCGCAATCAAGCAGAAGAGAAATGGAACGACTTCCATAGCAATATATATGAGGAGAGTCAGCCGTATAACTAAGTATACGAAGATGGATCCAAAAATCTCTTTCTTCCTGGTTCTGAGAGAGAATTATTCACATTAAGCAGATATCAAGAAGTATGAAAAGATTTTAAACTTTGACCTTGAGATATCAGATCGATCAAGTGATTTCGTAAAAGATGTTGACAATGTTCTTAAGACTGCATTAAAAGTTAAGTTACCTGCTGAGCGTGCAAGGTGCCACAATGCCACTGACCTCACAACAGACGCCGATGAGATTGCAAATCGTCAAGTTGCCAGTCAGAGTGCAAATCAGACTGAAATTGATGTTTTTCGCGAGCGTGGAATAAAGAACAAATTCTGAGTTCCCATGAGGAATCGAACCTCCTACCTTTGGAGTTCGCGTTCCTATGCTCTGCCACAGAGACTCTTTGGTGAGCGGGGTCTATTACAAAGTTCATGTGACACGCGTCTTGCATACTGTTAAGATCAACAATGTCGATAGCGTCATGTTTGTAAATAGAATAAGTAGAGATGGTAAGTTTTGAGCTGGGTAAAGAAATAGAGAAAGATGTTTTTCGTCTTGTCACGAGCGTGGGGCAAAGTAAAAAAATCCAATGGAAATTTCACAGGAAACAGTAAACATGACCATAAAATAAGAATGTATGGAAACCAAAAAAGATCCTTAAATGACTTATAAGATATTCAACTGTCCACAGTAAGCAGCGAAAAGGGAGAAAGTAGCGACATCCAAACACCTTTAACGCGTCTGACGGTTAATATTGACCATTTATTTTGATGATTGACGGTAAAAACTTGTCATTTTTGACGGCTAACGTTTGCATTTTAGGCCCTTTGACAGATGACGGTTAAATCGCATTGTGTAAAGTGTAGCTACTGCTGACCTTGCATTTAGTACATATCAGACTGGTAAACAGTGGAGACTTTGAAAACAGGTTAAAATGATTGGTAAAGTGTTATCTTGTGCAAGGGTGGCAACCTTAACGTTTTGGGAACGAACGGCTGGTCCCCGAGGATCCACCGGTTCTAAGTAAACGCTGCTTTTGACAATTCCACGCAATCTAAGTTAGCTAAAATTTGGCAAATATGTTATGAGAGAAAATTCCGTCAGAAGTGTCATTTCAATCCGAATCGCCTGACTATGGGTAATTGCAACTTTAACCCCAAGCAAGACGGAGAATTTGTATGCCCCGCCCTATTACAGCCTTACGGATGGTCAATTTCAAAGGTCGCGATGATCGGCATTCAAATCGGAGTTATCAAACTAAAATAGCAGATAAGGGGATTAAATACATAGGAATCATTATACGTTAATACACAGGGGCCTTGTGCAATCTGTCACCTCTTACACTCATTATTGCTCCATGGGAGCCTAATATAACGGCCTAGCTCAAAGAATTTAAACAAAAAGATTTAGAAATCTAATCACTTCTAGTTGCTTAATCGTTGTGACTTTTTCCGAACAATTGTAGTTCTTGTCGGAACGGCAGAACCTTTACTTCCGGTACAAGATTTCAGTAGGGAGGACATTGGAATTAATTTTTTGTTGTTGACGTTACTCACTTGGGAAGATATGGCAAGAACTGCACCCAAAGTTTTCCCTACTTAATTGCAAAGAATAAGATAAATTCTGGTGGTTTAAAAAACCTATTCTACTTCTTCCACACGAATATATATAGTCCATTGCCAAAACTTTGAAACCTACGAAGCGTTTAAACTGAAAGATGAGAGACTACGGCTTTATGAGTCAGATGTGTATGATAACCACCATTAGTTGCATCATCTATATTGGTTCATGCTTTTTAGGTGTCAGGGACTGTTAAAGTTTTTGCAATCGAATGTGTATTGTATATAATACGTATATACATGTAATTCTTATTATGAGTCAAGTGCTTTACAACATCAGTAGCCAGCAAGCCACAACCTAAAACAAATGTGCCCTGAGCGTTTAGTTTGTTTTTGTGTTTTCTTAGGACTTAAAAGGGGTTGTGTATTAGTGAGGCTATAATTCTAGAACTAACGTGACAGGCACTTTTATTAAAAATCCATCGAAAGCATGGATATCGATATAACAAAAATCAAGAAAAAACACCAAAATCACACGTATAGACATGGTATAATAACAATTTCTAATTTATGACGTAGACACTCGGATTTATGAACGAAATGAGCATATAACAGGTCGAACCGACGCATTAAACACTACGTACTTCAGCTTCATTTTATGTTTTAGAAAACACTCTAAGGAAAATTCTCTCACTCCCTAAATTATGATTCTGATGAGCGAAGCATCTCTAAGGGATGCTAAAAGTCGTTTTTTATCTGCCCTCCTATTCAACTTATATTTTAAGCCATCGTTAGTAGCACAAAATCAGTTAATTGAGCAGTGGAGTAGTTGTCAACACTGTTAGCAGGTTTCTGTTCTTAATATCTTTAACCGTTGGCATCATTGCAATGCTATTTCTAACATGTATTTCTTGGATCTTTAGGTTTAAAGGCAGATGATTTACCCATCTCATTAAGAACAGTCCAAGGTGTTCATCGAAATTTTTCCACTCTCTCATTAACCCGCGTTATTGAGTTTTCTCGCTAACGCCTACTGAGCTACATACCTGATCCAAAAGGTTGCATAGAAAAATATTAGCACATATATGTCAATCATCAGTCTATCAGGAACATAACTGCATAATTACCCAATCTAAACAACTAAAACCCTGAAGCTTCTATCAAAAGAGCTATTCTAAGCTTAAAGCAGTTTTAAATGGCTTCGTTATCCGTGTCAAAGGCTTGCTCGTTACTAGAAATAACACTTTTCTTCCTCTCGGTGATTGTCGAAATGACCCTTGACTTTATGAAGCTCGACGCCGTCGTCTTCGCTGCAGGCAACCCTATTTCTTTTCAGCACTTGCTTTGAATTGCACTTTCTGAAACGTTATAAGCAGTCAGAATATGAAATATGATTATTTACGTGTTCTTCTCTTTTCTGGGGCTGTATGAAATTTCAAGTCCTTCATTTGTCGGTATCGGGTGATGTCACATTTTCGACAACTGTTTTATATTGAACAGGTTCAAAAACCTCGACACACGAAAGATAAATCGGAAAAAGGGCGATGTGATTAGAGTAAGACAGGAAATTATTTAGGATAAGGACATAAATACCAATTGCCTTTTTTGGCGGTGATTATGATGAAACGAGAAAATAGTTTACAATCATTTAAGAATTTTGCACGCACGCGATTGGTCTAAACTACTGGAAATCCGAGGATATACCCCAACTGATATTCCCAATTTTCACTCCCTGCATCAACTCTATTAAGCCGTTCTTCAGAATTGAATTCAAGACGATAAAGTATTTTCCTGTTTTTACAGATGATGTTTGTTCGTTCATAAAGTCGTACTAGAGAACACTGAAAACTAAACATCTCAAGCAGTAATCGCTAAGCTGTTTGTAAACATATTTAACGCGTGTTACAGAAATATACGAAGGATAATAAACGCAATAGCATCCATTTGGCGCGAAATATGTCCGTTTATGTGTCCTTGGACATTACTTGTTCCTCGAAGCTCACAGTAATTGTCAAGCTTCGCTCTGGAAACTGTTCGCATCTTGGAACAAATGACGTAGGGGGACAAATGGAGGCTATTGTTTATATAGCATATTAAGACGAAGTTCTCATTTTACACTGGTTACCCAGTGACAAACGTGAATGAAACTCACCTGCAACATCCCAAAACACAAAGTATGATGGCCAATATAACCCCAGCTGCTGCCCCACCAATAATGAAATAGCCTATCGTTGTTTCTTCATGATGAACTTTTGGAGTCTCTGTGAAACTGCTCTCAGTGGAAGGGTCGAGGTACGCAATCTTTAGGTTAACAACTGACACGTTCAGGGCCTTTTCCAAATTTTCACGAGATGAATTTATGACTGTCAACAAAATGTTTTTATCCAGGGTAGAAGGAGAGTCACCAGCCACTCCAGGTGGAAACTGGACGTAGATCGCAACTCGAATCTGCATAAGATAAGGAGTTCGCTCTGGATAATCTGGAAGGAGATGGACTTGATCTGACGTGAAAAGTATGTAGTCTAGTGCCCTCCTGAAATCAAAACCATACCATCTTTAGCTTGAGAGAGGTAGAAGACCAATTGAACTAAACAGAAAAATGGCCATGACCGGATTTTATTAAAAAAACTCATCTTATTTGTTGACAAAAGAATGAATTCTGTCGTCAAATGTGCAGTTTACTTCTAGTTCTAGGCCCACTTGTTCGAAGACTTATTAGAACTAACCCTGGTTAAAATTTAATCTGTGTTTCTTGACTCCTTTCAAAAGCTTTTTTTAGATAATTTTCTCTGTTCTTTTTAGAGCATTAAAGCAACAAATTGTAGTCAAAAAGAATGATGATGAATTTTCTTATAAAGCTTTCAGATCTGACATCAGATTCACAGTTCCCGGAGTTATCTTAACCCAGCTTTGAAAATCCCAGCCCTGTTGCTATCCCAAATCAATAAAATAGCCTCAGTCAACTTTAAGGCAGTAACGAATTTTTGCTATAACAAAATGTTACTGGGTTTGGGAGCATATATCTCATTTACTCGCAGAACGGAATTAGTGGAAAAATTTAGTTATGCTTAGGCTTGGTAGTGATGTAGTAACCTTTTTCGAGGCGCTGTGATCTCACAATCTCTGCTTTCCCCACAGAAAGTGGTAACAGAATCTGCAACTGCATCTTTGAAGACTTGCTCTAAGGGCAGATTCCACTGAATAATTGTAAAAAGAACAAGGTTGATAAATATATGAAAAAAAATGATATTCTGAGTGTTGTAGTCATAATGGCAAATTCGATAAGATGCGTCCTTTGGAGAAAGACAAATTTTTTTCTGCATTTTTCAAAAACTAGAGGTTTCTTTTTTCGGAAAATATTTTCAGTATTCATGCAGCTCCCTAAAGGCTATTCAACATATTTGAAATTTTAAATTAATCCGCTCTCGTGCACCCAGACAGGCGCAACAATTTTTTCTTATTTTTTCTCGGAGACTTTAACTTTGTCATCCAAACAACGAGAATTGGCGAGAATTCTGATCATCGCAGTTTAAAACCTAGCTTTCATTGATTTTTCAAACCTTTTCCTTTCTCAAAAATGAACCGCATTACCGCATAAAATAAAAATGTACGAGAGCAAATGGAAGTGTCTTCACTGTCTTTATGTAATGAAAAGAATTTTAGATGGCCACGAGAAGATACGATATGTTTCTTCTCACAAGAAAATTTTTCACTTGTAGGGTTAGCTCACTCATTAGAATGGAAATTTCGTGTTTCCACGTGACCATCAACATCCCCTATCTGATTATGACTTTGAACATATACTATTCGTATCACATTCAAGTGAAAGGCAATACCTGAGATAAGTTGAGTCCTTTAATTGTGATAATAATCGCTTGACGTTCTTCAATCAAGGACGGAATTCTTGGAGTCGGTGCTGGCGGTGGAGGAGGTGGTTTTTCATTCTTGCCCGGACCTTGAGTGGAACGAACAATCAAAACGTTATGAATAAAGTCTGTAACATCATCACAAGAGAAGTCGAGTCGACATTCGAAGTTTTGAGGTATCCTTGGAATGATTTGCGTTTAGTAGTTATCCTCAGGCTCATTACTTTAATTAAATGTACAGTGATAAATTTTAATTCCTCTCAACGAGTAATAATTTTATAAGTCTGAGTGCTTCCAAATAAGCTATTTACACTTTGGTTCAACATCTCTTGCGATGTCTAGATAATTTGAGCAACTTATACCGCATTCACGCCAAAGCTTAATTAAACATGTTTTAAAGCTGTCTTGTTACATACAGTTTAAAATTTTTTCTTCATAGAGGCGGCTAAAAAAAAGTGTACGAATTCAAATCGAGAACATTAAAGAAAAGGTTAGTACTTAAAACCTATGTAAGAATTCTGTATTTAAGATCTCTTTTTCTCAATTTAAAACCCGGTTTAACTGAAATTTTTTTCGTTGTTAATGGGGTATAAGACACACCTCAACATTACCTTTCCTTTGGAAAATTAGAAATCATTAAGAAAAATTTTTTTTGTGAAGAAATCCATTGAAATGTTTTTGGTATTCATTAAACAAGAGTTTTTAAGCATTAACTCATTGCATATTAACTTTATCCTGTATTATCAGGGTGGTATGTATACATGTGGTCTCACCTTTGCAAGCACTGTCAATCCAATAAAGTCCTTCTTCACAGACGCATTTGTAAGAACCTTGAGTATTTTTGCAACGCTGTGACGAATCCTGACATTTAAAGGTCCATTCCAAGCACTCGTCTATATCTAAAATGACAAACTAAAGTCAGTAAATTAAAACCAAGTTGCCTTAATATATAGAGAAAGATGTTTTCGTCTTGTCACGAGCGCGGGACAAAGAAAAAATTCTGAGTCCCACGAGGAGTCCAACCCCAGACCCCCGGATTCCGCGCTCCGATGTAAATCTGAAGACCTGAAGTTCGATTCCTCATGGGAGCTAAGAATTTTTTCTTTGTCCCACGCTCGTGACAAGACGAAAAAAATCTTTCTCTTTTTCTTTGCGGAGCTCAAAAATAACTGTCTTTCTTATTCTATTAGCCTTACATATGTTTAAAGTCGTCTCTTCGCACGCTCAGCATTTTTAAAAATTTTTTATTTTTTGGCCGGCGTAAAGCAGTTCAGGGCGTTCAGTATTTTTTTTTCATTTTTCTAATCATCATTGCCGTTTAAGTCTTTGTTGTTCTGAGTAAGCCCATCGTGATTACATGTCCTTTCAAATCATATAATCTTTGATTCCCCTTTTCTTTCGGGTGATGAGTGGGAGAAGTAGTCTCTTACTGGTTATCTCTCGCTTACTCATTGGCACATCGATATTCGACATTGGCGATGAACACGCCATTATGCCAATTGCTTTGCCTCAATTGGAAAAGTACATAAACTCATACTAAGCACAGTATCTCGATGAATCTGTCCGGCATTACCGGATTATGATCCAGTTCAGCTACCCTTATTGAACTGTACATAAAGATAAAGTGAGTAACACACAAGTAATATTTGAGAATGTGTGAACCCAGAAATTTTTTCACATTGCAAGAAAATTTCATGGTTTTTGAGCAAGTTGACTTACTTCAAATTATCTTCGTGCATGGAATGATCAAATGAAAAATTAGACTTGCAGATAAAATTCTAAAAACATCTTATCCTGAAACAACGTTTCAATTGAGAGAGTTATAATTTTTTTTCCGTGGTAATGCCTCAATTCTGCCTTTACACTACCTATGCAAGTGACATTATCAGCGTCCAGTCTAAAGCCGTCCACACAGGAACATGTGTAGCTTCCTTCCGTGTTGTTGCATTTATGGCTGCATCTATTCTCATTTGCCGCACATTCATCAATATCTAATGGAAAAATGGCGAAACTGTAAGTAGTAGAATTACTTGCAATCCTCCAGTCTAACACTGCATTAATAACATACAATGCCGGTCAAAAACCGTTCATAAAGGAGTGACAGATTGTTCGAACGTTTTTCAGAACACAGACAAGGCGCTGGGAATCACTACTTTTAAGTTCTTTCGCCGCTGTCTCTACTGATTAAAGTTGTCAATTCATTTCATGTAGATCATTTTATGTCAGATATACTTCTAATTACCCTAGCAACATCAAACACAGTCTTTGGTCTTCTTTAGGTACATAAAAAATAAAAATTAAGAACCTAAAATCCTCCCTAAGGTTTGCATGTTCGCTCTCTATATTAAGCTTGCTATAAATTTTATTTAGAGCCGTTTGATCCTTCGTTATGGCATTAGCCTTGAAGAAGACAAATTGTACTATTTGAAAGTGCCTTACGCCTTACACTGGGTGCCAACCCTGATATTTATTTGATTTATTTATCCTTCGTTTACCAGGTTCTGGCCACTTATTTAAAAAAAAGCATAGCTTACAACATGATTGTAAATCTCAATGTAGAGGGTAACGTTTTTAAATGAGAAATACTATCTGGTGCCATCTTGAACACGGCGAACAGTATACACGATACGCACGAATCCCTTCTCTTTTACCTTAAACCAAGTGAAGTGAGATCCAATTTAATTTGTTCACCCTCTAAATGTATACTAACTGGCCCTGTATAGTTTCTTAGGTTAATACAATTATACCCACCTTTGCAACTATCCCCATCGTCTCCAAGAAGATAGCCTCGTCTACAAGCACATTGTTGAATTTTGTTTGAACCAAGGTAACAGATGTGCTGACAGTTATGTTCACCTTTCTGACATGGAGAATCAGCTTTAATATAAAAGATTTATAATTATTGTTATTTTTTTCATACGTTTCATGTTGCTTACCGAAAAAAAGCGTTTACAGAATCAAACGATTTTTGCCTGCCAATACATTAAAAAAAAGAAATACACTCAGTGATTTCTAACATCGCTTAAAATGGCCACACAACTTAATAATTATAAAACTATCAGAAAAACTGATCAAAACGTTACCAAAGTGAAACTTAAAGTAAAATACTTACACTTCCTAACAGTAATTATCAGATGCTAGATAAAATGGACTTTACATCTTAAAAGAATCGCTTGTACATCAAGGTTACTAGGTAGATTTTTTCAAGGAAATGTAGACTTCCGTTAGTAATTATAATCATAAACTGCCCACCCCATGCAGTAATTTAACTCCAAGTGCGGGTAAAGCAATTTAAAAATCACTTACGAATACAATTTTTGGGATCTGAAGGGTCCACTTTGAAGAAATCATCACAGCTACATCGATATCCACCGTTTGTATTTTCACACTTGTGCATACAGTCGCTGACAGGAACGCATTCATTAATGTCTGATTAAAAAAAAAGTGAGTTAAAAATAGAGAAGCCTTGACTGTGCTCTTTTCTGTCGTAAAGAACGCAGGAAGCGGCTAAAGCACGAAAGAAGTGTAGGGAGAAACACGAGACATAGTCGAGTATTTCTTCTCATTTGTTTTATAAAAAATATGTGAATTTCCCATGCATTTCTTCAAATTTTCAAACAAACTTTATTTCCAAAGCGAACAACAATGTCGACAGCATGCTCTATACACTTTCAAAAAGCACGCCACAATGAGCCCATCAGGATCTTTCTTGGGATGGTTCAAATAATCTGATTGGATGAAAAAGATTTAAGCTGTCTAAAATGTCAAACCATCAGAGTTCACAAACCATCGAAGTTCACAATTCGTAATAGTTTACAAACTGAAATAGTTCGGCAAGTCGAATTTAGCACTTTTGCCGCAAGTCTATTTAGTCTCTAATACGAAATTTGAAAGGGAAATGTTTAGTGAAATCCGGCCGAATTGTGGCTCATAAAAACACACATGAAAATTAGGCAACAAACTGTTGAAGGCGTGTGTTTTATAAAGGAACGACAGCTGAATTCACTGGAACATGAAGATTGCTCGGGATCCATTTTCACTCGAAAGGCGGCCGATGTAAATTCTGAAGCTTGCTTCACTACGCTGACCGGAGATTGCCACGATGGACCTCAGCATGATCGCAGTAGCTCTGACACCGTCATGATTAGTATGAACTTTGACACTTACTCCAGTTTAGCTATATTTTTCATCATTTGTTTTGTTTTGTTTTTGAACACAAAACTATATATACTAAACGAGTGTTACCGGTGTTTAATTTTTATTACCGTACGTAACTTGCAATCCAGCTGAGCGTGTAAACCTTCAAAACTCGAACTGTCCATTTCGTTTTCTCTTTGAGGATTTTCGTCTTTGCTTTTGTCATAATAAAGAAAATTGTGGCGCTTGGTATGTTTACAAATCTTTGTTTGGTTCTTCTGTTGCGACTTGCCGTCTCGTTTCCTCCGAAGTTTCACTTTCAATTAACGAAAAAAAGCTAGAGAGAAGTCCGGGAAAAGTTGGCACAATTTAGAAGATGGCGTGATAGCTTTAGCTCTATCTTGTACTATGATAGTGCACGCTTTTTCAACTAATGATAGCGCGTGTTATATACGAACTTTGTTATAATAAGGAGTTATACTTAAACGTATAGGGTTTGTGCGAGTAAATTTTTATTCTGTCGCGCAATGGTCCTCTAAAATATTCACTATGCATGGTAGCTTACTCAGAGATGAAATGAGAGAAAACATGAGAATTTGGTGCTTTACCATCACAATTTCGCTGGTCAATCTTGAGCAAGTATCCTTTTCTACAGTCGCATGTGAACGAGCCTGGTGTGTTGATACAGACTTGACTGCATCCACCGTTCGACCCTTGTAAACATTCGTCAAAGTCTGAAAAAAGGAATTAAATTATAATTATGATAGTATGTTATTATTTATTTGCTGCTAACATCAAAACTTTCTTCTTCTTATAATGGATACTCAGAGGCTACAGTAGTGACACAATTTGAGTATAACATATTGAATGAACCTGAGGTGTTTATTTACCAACTGGACTCAGTTTTCTTGAGAAAAAAGTCTAACTGGGATCAGTTCGATGGAGCTGCGATGTAAGTGCAGCCCCATATAACGTTTTAACTCTGAATTGTAGCAATACCATACAAACGCAGAGTCTAGCTAGGTCAGCTAAGTACTCGACAAAATGTGCATTATTTCTTCCGCAAAATTACAGCCCTCTTTTATTGTTTCCCTCGCAAATAACTTATTCTTGTCGGTTCTTTGACTGACTTAAGGAGTACAGTGAAACTGGATCAGGGATACGTTTGCCTTTATATATGTTTTGAGCTATGTCAGAAATCCAGTTTGATAATGGATACCTCGACATTTGGATCCATCTCCCGTGAATCCATTCGGACAAGGTCCACATTTGTAGCCAGATATATTTGCTGGAGGGGGAAGGTCGATGCACTTTACACCTGGGTAACATGGGTTTAGATTTGCTTCACATGCGTCGAGATCACTCTCGCAGAGCGTTCCTGTATACCCATTCAAACAACCACACTCAAGTACTTTCATCTTGTTGCTATTATGCGTGGAGTTTTTGTTGCTGGCTGAATGAAGGCAAACGCCATTGTTATGACAAGCACAGAGATTAATGATTGGCCTCAAGAATGCTGTTGCACCCTGATCGTCTGTTACCACGAATTCTAATTCAATCTGCAAACAGGAAAGCGTTGGTGAGTAATACGTCCTTCTCTTCCCATAGGTGAGAAAGAAACGCAGCCACACAGTATGCCATAAGCCATGGTCACTATGATTTGTAACAACACGATTAACGACGGTATTACATGTAGTTGCATACCTTAAGTGTTGGAAGTATAGGTAATAACACGATTTCTCTTACAATTTGGTGCAAATAAGCACAAGAAAATTCTTCAAAGACGACAAAATTGCACGAGCCCGTAGAGCAAGATAGTGCATGTTTCACCAGATGGCAAGAGAAATCATGTTAGTACTTGCTAATAATGTACATGAAAAAACATCGCTGAAAGTCAAGACTGACGAAATTTGAAAGTGTGCGCACTCTATTTGTAATTTGCATTCGTGTTACAACTTTGCACTCGTGTTACAACTTTACACGTGTTACACGAGAATGCACTCGTTTTCAGCCAATCAGAAGCGCGTAATTTTTTTCATGTACATTATTAATGATGTTAATACGGTATGTTAGTGTTGTAACTAATTTTAGTATTCTGAGTATGTTAGTATTGTAAGTAATGTTGCATTGTAAATAATGTTAGTAGTGAAAAAATTAAATTAAATGACTGAAAACTAACAAACAATAAACAGTGGTAATAGTACTGAGCGGAGGCCGCCTCGGCCTGTAATCATGACAGTGATTAATTGCGAGTATGAATAAAAACAGAATGATACGATTTATCAAGTGCTCAGAAAAACAACTTTGCATCTAAATGCATTTCATAGAATACAATACAGAATTCAATGAAAGAATACGTGTTCGTTAGTTCCGTTCCACGTGACTGTCACAGAGTTGGAATTGTTCCGTAGAATAGCTGCACGAGGTAGAACGCCGAAAACAGAGAATATCAAGGTGTCGTTGTTTGGGTCTTCTGCAACCACAGACACACTTATACTCTGATTCACAGTGACATTCACTTGGGAGAGCTGTGTGACGAACCGGGGTGGATAATTTTCTGTCAAAAATAAAAGGTGGTATTGATACTCTTACATGTTTCAAACTGTCACATTGAAAATTTCATTTCATTTTGTTTAGTTTTAAAAAACTTTGTTACACTCGACGCTCGGTCCAAGATCGAAAAATTTCTTGTTTGTTCGAATTAAGGAGAAAATAAAACTCGACTTTTACGACCTTTAAATGGACTTAGCACAATACGTATGTGTGGCTGATTTCGTGACGTATTGTTTTTATCCCTTTAAGAAAACTGGGGTAAAAATCAGATAAGAGAAGATGACTCTTTCTCCAGTGTGGACGACATTGCCTTTTCAATAGTGTTTTTCGCCCATTGAAACATCCTTGGTAGATAGAACTTAAAGCGGAATCAAATAAGCAGTTGAATATCGATCTTTTGCCTTGGTCAAAAAGCCCATTTTTCATCTTGTTTGCGCAATGTGTCATTTGGGAAGGAGAGGTCTTCCAGAAACATAGGGACAAAAGATTCATTTTCGAAAGTTTTCAGGCTTTCTCCTGGTTTGTATGTAAAAAGTGTGGATCTGTTGTCTACCTGCCCTATTAAAGAGGAAAATGGGGAAAAGCTTCAATGTAATCAAATAATTCTTTGTCAATCTAAGGATTACAAAAAGGATTAGAAACCATAAACTCCTCGACGGCTATCAATTACGGTATAACGAACACTACTAGCTCCAGTTCCGTGAATAATCAAAGACTGCACTTTTTCAAGTTGGGGTGCATCTTTTAGCCGAGGGCGTCCTATAGCTACATAACTACGGTAGTTTAAATCTGCCGTCCTAGGCAGTCGATTGGAAGTACGTTAGCTTCTATGAGAAGCGCGAAAAATTTATTTTTCCAAAATATTGAATTTGCCTCTGCTTCACCGACTAAGTTAAAAGGGCACTGACCCTTCGCAGCAAAGCGCACACTTTCAAAAACTTTGAATGACATATATAGGTAAATAAAACCTACTTAAAAAGATGTGGGCGAGCAATTAAGATATATAGTTTTTTTTTAACAAAAAAAAAAACAAACAATGCTAACGTCAAATACAATAGTCACTTTACAGCTAAAACTAATAAAAATAATAGATGAGGGGAAATTTAGCGATGAAAATTCCACAAGGCGGCTCTTCTTCTCCACTGTTTTTAGGTCGATCTAAGGTTGGAATTTTGGTTTTTTGTGGAGGGAGGAAAACTGGAAGACCTGGAGAAAAATTGTCAAAGCAAGGTCGACTAGGTGGGAGGTGAGCGCTCTTATTAATGCATCAGCTGTGCTTCCTAAATAAAGTTACCACAATAGCATTATCAAATCAATTAGACCTTATAAGAAAGAAAACTTTACTCACAAAGGAGACCAAAATTGTAATGAATGTCCTTGCTGTTCGCGTTTGAAGGCAAGATGGTTCCATTAGGCGTCAAAAAGTCGTCTTCAGGATCATCATTCCATCTTCCTAACAGGCCCTTTGTTTGATTTTTGAAGCTCTTTGGTGCAGCAAGTACAATTGAAAGTGCTCCCGAAACAGCTTTCGCTGTGACTGATATCCCCGACGGAAAAACCATTACAAAGGAGTTGTTGTCAGGTTTGGCAACAGCAACAGAGCCCTTGAGTGTAACAGATTCGTTTGAAAGGCTAGTGTAGTTAAAGGACTCTCCATCAATCAGCACGCTTATTTCTGTGGATAGAATTAGTCGATAAGATCATTTGACGAGAACACGCACCAACAGAAAAATCTCTTTTCACTTATTTCCAAGAATTTGGTTGTTTAAGTACGTAGAAAAGATCAAGATCGGACAATAAAAAGTTACGATAAAATTGAGGAAACCTTCAGATGGCAGAAGATTTAGTAATCCATTCTAACCATTGCATTTTGTTTAGTTACTGACCTGCATCGTTCAACTCAATCTGGACAACACTAGAATTGCCTTCCTTCGCAGCTGCAGCAGAAAACACTGTCGCTGTTCCGTCCCCTTTTGCCAGTTTCGTCCGAGCTTGTAACTGGAAAAATCCGTCACGAGCATCGGTCATTATGTATTCACCAAGACCATTAAAGGTGTAGTTTTTGCCATCAAGAGTGACAAAATGAGGGTCACCCCAGAGCCAACCTAAAAGTAGAAAAAATTATTTGAGACATATTCATGAAATTAATGATATCTTGATGCAAACAACTGGAAGGCAAGCAGAATGCCTTGATGATAAGATTCTACCGAGAGCAAAAATTATGTGTGTGCATAATAATGTTTTAGATAAAATCCTTACTCCATTCTGGTACTACATAATTTCCGCAATCATCGGAAGGGCGTCTCTTGTAATACAAGTCACACAAGTCTGAGTTGACGCAGCACTTTTGATAGCCTTGTACATCGCTCGAGTCGTGTTTAACTCTCAATTCCTCAGTTAACTTGTGGTATCTATGTGCTGAACCTCCACCAGGATTTCCCACAAGCAGTGCACCCCAGCTTTGCCCGTTAGTAGAGTAACAACATTCCTGGCCCCACCCATGTGGTGAGGGGAACTGAGCGTAGCCACACATTCTTTGCCAGTCTCTCCAGTTCACTGTGAACCTTTCGTCCCACCATGCTTGTCGCAGGACACAAGGACAAGGTTCGATGTATTCAGTGTAGAATCGAGGATCTGGTTGAGCTTTGAACCAGTCAATGCACTCCTGTCTTGCGTTAAGTTTCCCGAGGGATTCTTCTAGTCTGAAAAACCACTTCCCAACCATGTCAGCGTTACCTCTTATTCCGTCGATTGTTTCTATGTTGACAGTACCCGATCTAGGAAAGAGACAAACGGGAAACTTCCTCATCGATCAGATTTTCTACCACCCAATTAAAAGATAAAGCTATTTCCTTAACAACACAACCTACCGTGGCATGTTATATTTCCTTTCTCCCTTGTCTCCAGCATTCCAACCAACCACAGGCAACCCATATGAGTTGGAATAATATCGATAGTACATTCTGCAACAGAAATACAATTATTACTTTCATCTGGAGACGAAAAAAAAAATCTGAAAACAACTCTTTCAAAATTGCACAGCTAGGTAAAGGCAGCCATAGAACCGCGATGAGGTTGCTAACTGAGTGACATATTTTAAACCTTTGGAATTCGCTTGTATAATTCATGCACTAACTCTTGTGTTGAGAGATGAACAGAGTTCTAACTTCAGATTGTGAGTCAGTTGCTGCATCAAGCAATAGTCCATTAAGCTTCTTAGACAGTAAATAGTGTCTTGCTCATCAAAACAACTTCTAATTTCGAGGAGATCCTTTGGTATTAACTTGACGTCTCAAGTTTCGGGGGGAATCCCAGTTTTAGTACCATAAATAGGGTAATTGCATTCCCTTAGATCATGTTACAAAAAAAGTCCTAAGTATAACTGATTTTGTGCTTTGTCTACTGCAAGGTAGCGTATTCTCGTTCCACATATTGGTCGCGAGGTCATTTTTTCATGCAGTTTGCTGATGGAGAATTGTAAAAGTAACTGTATTGTTTTAATGCAATTCAAGCAGTATGAATGGAATGGATGATGCCAGTTTATTGGAATATTACACTTTAATTGATCATTTGGAAGTGGTTTTGTACTGACGAATTGTGTCAAATACTAAAAAAACAACAATAGCTGATAAAAAATTGTAACGTGAGAAAATATTTTTATAGAATTATATTCAGACGGACTCCATACGTGCGAAACTCTTTGTTTGATATTTTTGATATAGACAAATAGAGAAGCTTATTCTTCCATGGACAGCATTTTTCAAGAAACTCTGAACTACGAAGACCTTTACACTGAGCAAACCTCTGGGTTGGAGCGGACCACTGCAGGCCATTGCTTGGATAATTGTACATCGTGAAGGAGTACACTCCATCTGTGATCAAAACCAACTGAAACGTATTTCCCTATGGATTCAATATGATAAGTAATAAACAAGAATTTATATGATAAACTGAACCATACACGAATTTTGATTGATTAATACTTATGATGTATTGGAGGACAAATGCCCAGATGACTTCATAATTAACAACATTTTGCTGTTTATTATATAAAGTGAGTAAATTACGTGGTGCCGTGTTAAATATAATATCTTCAGGGTTTTAAAGTATTAGAAAAATGCATTTCTTAAAGAAACTTATTAGCGAGTGTATAGTTTCTTCCTCCATCAGCATAAGATTAATACCCCCGAACATAGTGACAAGGCTTCTGAGCAAAGATCTAGATCTTTTCGAGGAGATCTCTTCACATCGGGAGATCACACTAATTTGCATTTTTGTGAAACTTCTTTGTTTTCGATTCTCGTTAAAAGTGTTAGGCGCAATTTTCAGACTTGATTTCGCAACACGTATTCTTCCTTTAAAAGAGAAGGTACCGCTCTTGCCTCAGTACAATCTTAGCGTTGCTGTGTTAAGACCCGTGGAACATCTTGTCCATTCGTAAAATTAGCTATACTTTTACCTGGTTTGCCATATTCGCAGGGTACTGATACGGACGTAAATTTTTCCACGTTACCACTAGCACCCATGATGCCTTGAAAGCGGTCGGCAAAGGAGTCGACAACAGCCTCTTTGTGTCCGAAGAGGCCCTCTTCAACAAAGGCGCAGAGCTTGGGTCGGAATCTGAATACACGTGATAATAAACTTTAGAAAAGCCCTGAATCACAAAAGAATCGTCTATATCCGTCAAACCCCAATACGGCGCCAACATTGCCTTTTTCTTGAGCCACCAACGTTCCCCGAAATTGTAAGGCCACCAGGGAAGCCATTGTGAATCAAACAGCAGCAATCCGTTGCGACAGATCTTAAAGAGAGAGTAGGGTTGGGTTAATTTTAAATTAATTGACAAAACTCGGCTTTTTTCTTATGGGCATTGATTCCAGTGAGAATTACTTTGGGAGATAATTTACAAGTTAATTGCATTATGTTACTACAACACACCCTTTTAAGCTTAGAAAAGAATGACTGTCCAAGAAAGCGTGGGAAAGACCTGATAGATTAGGTATACGATTATTAGTTTTCATCGGCAAATACGCCTTGAATGCTTTGAATTGGTTACAAGGTAATAGATTAATCGAGTCGAGAAAAAAACTCAAAGGAAAAGGTTAGAAAGGATACCTTCGCATCTTCAAGAAAAATGGTAACAAGGCAACCGACATTACAATCCACAGTCATGTTACGATTGTCAGGCGATTGTCAGACTATTTAATTGAAATCGAATGCAAGAAGATATATACGTACGTGGACTTTGTAATGACGTTTGCCGAAGAATTGCATTCCATCGTCCGGAATATCGACCTTGAAACATTGCCACGAGTACTCATACGTGTTTGGAATTTCCGAATCACCAGCGGAAGAACCGTAGGGATACATGAGCTGCATCGGTCCTAATATAAGTAATGCAATGAGGCAATTCAAATACAACGTTTCGAAAAGCACCATTTTTACATCAAAATTATCGAAAACTATGAATTTTTCAAAGATTGAACAGTGTTCTTTCACAAGATGTACTCTAAAATGTGACGGCTACATTACTTTTTATCCACTAAACAATTAGATTATGATCTCAAGAATGCTATCGCGAGGTAGTTGCGAAAATAATCTAATTGTTTGAAGAAAGATCACCCTATCAGCCTCAAAGTTAAGAGCAACTCAGGTTAATCAGACATGGTTTGATGCTACTCTGGTTTACAGATTTAATGAATGTAACCAAAGAAGTTACAATTTATAGACCCAACGTTTCGACGGTCCTTTTATATGGTCACTAATTAGCGGTCTTTTTTCTGACGAGGTGTAAATAGGCGTCAGGAAGCAAACCGCCATCGTCAAGATTTAAAGGAGCCTGGTCGGAATTTATATGCCAAGCCTCCAAACAAAGGCGCTGGTGGTATCGCCGATTAGTGGTGATAATTTTAGAATTATCCCACCCAATTGTAAGGTTAGTTAGGCATGTGTGCCCCGATAAAGCAGAATTTTCCTTTTTGCAAAAGAAAACCGCTTTTTGATGCTCTTTTAAACGTGTACCAAACTGACGTTTGGTCTGTCCGATGTATTCGTTGTCACAGTCATTGCAAGCTAAGGAATAGAATAAATGGCGTCGGTTCGTTGTTCTTTCGTGACAGGATCCTTAGGTTTGGCGAAAATATGCCCCAAAGTCTGAAAAGGTTTTTGAGCAACTTTAACGTTGTGGCTATTCAAAATTCTCTTGATGAGTTCCGTAACACCCTGAATGTAAGGAATAACAGCAATACCAGTCGCTGGTTCCCTTTCATCGAGAACTGCAGAACTCTTCGACCCAGGAAGTTTCGGAGTTGTTAATCAAAGCAGAGAGTTCACAGAGTGAACGAGAGAATAACGCACGCAAACGCAGTGTGGCACTGTGACATTCATCTATTCGTAGCTTAAGAAAAGAAAAACCAGAACGGAAGATGAGCTTGTATCCTTTGGCACTCCGTAAATGAGGCCGAAATCTCAAGCTCGATGGAAGCACATAGTTTTCTTTACAACGGTGATTGAAATACAAATGACAGCGATACTTAGCAATGCGGACTCTGATGTTCGCGAGCCGGTTGACCCTTGTAACAACAGTTTGACCATACTCTTCTCGCAAATAAAATATATGAAAGTTCACACGGCAACCAGGTGGACAATCAGACATGGTTTGATGCTACTCTGGTTTACAGATTTAATGAATGTAACCGAAGAAGTTACAATTCATAGACCCAACGTTTCGACTCTCCTGTCTAGTGCCTTCATCAGGGGTGATCTAAACGCTGCAACAAGAGGTCCTTTTATATGGTCACTAATTAGTCTTTTTTCTGACGAGGTGTAAATAGGCGTCAGGAAGCAAACCGCCATCGTCACGATATAAAGGAGCGTGGCGGAGTTTATATGCCAGGTTAATGCTGTCAGGTAGCTTAACCTATTGTTATAGTTTTACTTCAAAGGAAAAAGAAACATTAATCAACCTTATTGTAATGAATAATAATTTCTTAGCTGTGAAAGCAACCAACTTTAACCAATTTTAATAGCATTTTACCTTCCGTTGTCGGACTCGGTGTATTTGCCGGCTCCCCCGTCGTTTTCACTGAATCAAGAAGTGAAAATGAGCCATGTGAGTATGAATGCAATTTTAAATAACATTACATTGTGCGTCGTTTTTCCTGGTAGCGTAAGACATTGCTTCCTTACTCCGAGCAATTGAGTTTATACATAAATATCTCACATTTTCATCGCAGTTTCGCCTATATACATAACTATTACATCGCTGGCAGTACCCGTGAGCGATATGAAGCAGATCATGTGTTCTGGTTGGCTACCCGAGCGAGCGAGATGGGCACATCTCGTTCTTTATGAACCTCAACTTCGTCTCGGTTCACGGCCAATATCCAACCATCTCGACTTCAGGCCTGGTCAATAACACATTCATTTTGAGACTGTCCGGGGTGAAGATCAAACTCTTAATAAAACGTGGACGAAATAAAATTCTAAAGCCTCTTATGGGTGAATCAAGGGCTTCAATAAATCCTCACTAATTTACTTTGAATCAAGTTATAACCTCGCTAACCCTGTTTTCTTCGTTTTTCTACTTTTCTTTACCAGTGACTGTTTTCTCTTTTCAGTAATTTTGTTGCAACAGAAAGAAATGAAGGCTTTTAAAATTTTTCTGTGTTACAACAATCACGATCATGAATGTTATTATTTGAGTTTGCAAATGGTATCGAGTTGGCGGCAATCCGCGAACAAGTCGTTGAATTTTTATCTCTAACATCGCAATATGTCAACTAATGTTTTCGCGGATAGCAGTCGGGCAGATTAAAGTCAGATCTTGATCAAGATCTCCTGAACTGTTCACATCTAGTGGAAACTTACCTACGCCAGTTTCTAGGGTGAACGTTTGACTCATGTAGGTGACTTCTGACAAGAGTAGCACTCTGACGGTATATTCTGTTCTTGGCTGAATGTTTTTGAGCGATACTTGAGTATCATTCGTCCGTATAACATTCCAATACGTCGAAAACTGAGACGACTTGTACATTACAATGTAACCCTTCAATTCACCCACATTTTGCGTCTTTTTCCACTCTAATACAGCTGATGCTGAAATAGTATTCTCCTCTTTCGTCGCTATATCTGAAGCGTGAAGGAATAATCATCAACTCATGCCCAGCCCACTGACCTATGTAACTCAAGGCTATGGTTGCCATCTAGAAAACTGAGAAATGCAGTTAGGTATCATTTAGTTGGATACCGGAAACAAGAGAGAGTTTTATAATACGTACAGCAAGATTTCAAACTGAGGTGGGGGTGACGAATTATCTGTCACCTTCAATCACCTTGCCATGTGACAGCGCTGAGCTCGCTATGCTGCTGAAGACTTTGAGATATTTTCCCGTGTTTCGGGACGCGTGCCAATAATTGTTGTCATCCATAATGTATGTGAACTTTAGATATGGAAAAATAATGTCAAGCGAACTCTTAAAATTTTGTTTGTGCTGCAAGCATTTCTTAGTCCGCAAAACAATATGTTTATCTATGTGGGATTTTGGAAGCGATTGCACCTCTTATCCTTACCAAGATCTATTTCCTGCTTCACCAAAAGATATCGAGCGTAGAAACCCTTTTCCTCTATTCCATTATCTGAATACAGACGCACTGTAAAAGAACTTTCAGTGAAGGTGACAGCAAAAGGTTGATGCTTTCCACAAAATTTCCAATCTATACTCTCAGATTTGCCCCTCACTTGAACATAATCCGAGCTGCAAATATTTTCAACAAGAATAGAGAACATTACAACCAAACAGGGCAATCAAAGTAAACAAGATAGCCGAGTACTCGCGATTGTTCTTTAGAACTTGAAATTTCAAATCCTGGACATCGTAAGCAAAAGATGTCATAAGTCACAACGGGGACCTAAATTGTAAAATCTAACCTGACATAGTCTCCAAGTCGAGAACATGACTTCGCAAGGTTTCAGGAGGAGACTGGAACGCGATAACGTAGTCTTTTGTTTCCAGATTCTGGACTAAAGTCGAAAGATCGCATTTCTTACAGCAAGAATTCTTTTTAATTTCCATAGGAAATGTGACAACTTTGTAGCAGATAACCACGACTAACGTGCTTTTTCCTTAAGCTTTACACAACCTTGCCGAATGCCTCACAATGCAATGGAGCGCAAAGCTTTATTATTGATTATGAAAATTGATTACCAGCGGCGTCCCATTTTCACGCGATTTGCCAAAAAAATGACAACTCGTTGTCGCGACCGCAAATCAGAGTCATTCTATCCCCAGACTATTTGCTCTTTACTCGAAAAAACTTCTGCAGCTGTAGTAAGTTGTTATCATTATGCAATCTTTCAAATTCAAAAATACCTGCAGGGAGTACCAACACCTTCTGTGTGCAAATAGTCGAAGAAAAGTATGACCTTTGTTTCTCTTAACTCCATTCCTTCACCTATTACCCAAGTACAGTTGGCATTACTTGGATAATTACTGGGATAGTTAGGACTGGCAAATTCTCTGACATCGCTGGCTAAAATAGACAGACAACCTGGAAAATATCGAAAAAATAAAGTTAAAAAGTGATGAATGACATTTTGCCAATGATTAATTCAATGGAATGAGTGAGAGGGTTAAAAAAAGAGAAAGTAAATGACGTGAACGATTTACTGGGGGAAAGGCTTTTTTGGACAATTTGATGTACATGCAACTAGCAAACAGTGTTCTCAAGCGAATCAAAGTATTTTTATATCCAAAATCTTTCTTCACGTACCAGTTTTGGCAAAAAGTGGCCGACTTTGAACTCCAACACCAGCTCTCGTAAACCCGGCAAGGTAGATTCTGTATAGTGTCAAAACTTTCAGGCCTTTTAAGGTTACAGACGAAACTAGAGGCCCAACTGACATATTGTAATAGCTCTCTTGTGTCCAAGCCTCTTTATACCGAACCAGGTGACCTTGAAGCTCTCCTCGGATATCATCTTTATTTATGAGAGACCACGTAACTCGAATAGTTGTAGAATTTGTGCCGTGTCCCGAGACATTACTTGGCGGCTTTGAAGGAACTACGAATATAACAAACAAACATTATAAGAAAATAAATTAAACTATTAAGGTAAAATAAAATAGAATCCTTTGTAACGAAAAGAATTACAAATTTGGAGATCGTTACTTTGAATCAAAACTTGAAGCACAACAAGATTCAAGGTTAAAATTTAAAAGAGAAATCCTTCTGAACAACTCAGAGCATGGCTGAATTCGAAGTGTATCAATTGTATTAAAACTGAACGGAAGCTTAATGCAAACAGCAAGGTTAATAACTGAGGACGGACCGCTGAGTTGTTTTCAAAGTGCGTTTTAGATAGTTTTCGAAAGGACAAGAAACTCTTATGAAACTCAAAACTCGGTGATAAGTACATTTCCTTATATACCTCTCAATGGCGAGACCGTAGGATAATAGGATCAAATGACACACAGAGCAAATTTTCTCCTTTATCAAGAAATACGACATAGATATCCTTGACTTTTACCAACTGTCGACTCGTGTTGCCTAAGCGTTGTTTTTTGGAAAAAGGTCGACTTTAAGCGCGAGTGTCTGCTGCTTCGTGCACACCCACGTTCTTTCATTGTTAAAAATTAATCATTCCTCACCATCTTCATTTGTCCTGAGTACCACAACACTGCTGCTTCTCATTGAAATCGATCCATTTCTTTTACCTTTGGACAAGGCAATCATTTGAACCCTGTATTCTGTGTACGGCACAAGCCTTTGAACCAAAGTACTAATGGACGAAGAATTTGCTGCAGCTAAACGTAAGGTCTCTTTGATTTCAGTAGCTCTGCAAGCGGCGACGAAGCCGTAAAAATCATTCATCGAAAGAGAAAAGGTGTCATTTGGCCATTTCACCAACACTGTTGTCGAGGATACGCTCTCAGCAGTTATATTCCAACCTTGTATGCGAGGGGCTATATACGGGTCAAAACAAAAAAATTCGAGTGATATCAGGCTGACTCTTTACTCAAGATAGAATTAAACAAAAGGTATCGTGGGATGTTTCTCTAACAATCTTATGTTACTAGATGGTCTCCCTTAAACATTTAGTTATAAAGTTAAACTGACCTTCGGTGAATGACTTGTTGAGTATGTGATATTGGACCTTAAATCCTGTTGCTAAAGACGTCCGGCGACTCGAATAGTAACGCAGGTGTAAGGAAGGACCTTCCCAAAAAACTGTTAATCCTATCCTTCTGCCACATACTTTTTCGACTTCCTGACCTTTATTGATCTCCAGGTAAAAAAGCCTATTGAAAAAGATTCCTTTATGCTTTCAACTCGTATAGAGCTGTTTTGAGAGAGGTTGTCAGAAAAAAAGGCACAAGAGTGCACGCGAAAACTCTGAAAGGTATTGTGGGTTGTTTTCAGGTCATGGTTCCTTTACCTCAAGATTTGAGGGAAACCTGAGAAAGTGTCACTGTAAGGACGAGGCATCGCGGGTTTGATGAATTGATTTAGTTTACTTAAAATTCATTGTTTACCAGATACCCAGATTTTCTCTGAAGATTGGAGCTTGTACTTGTGTCCTTTTTTCCGAACCTCATTCGAAACAGCTGTATACACGTAAGCACACGAGACCTAGAAGCTTGGAAGTTGTCATATTTCTACGTCAACTTCAGAGCTACCTCGTTTAGGAACATATTTAGTTTACATGGAGAATTATCTTTTCTTATTAAAGTGCGTTGCACGTTGCACAAAACACATAGGTTTACCTTGAGTTTTTTAAATTCCATAACGAGATGAAAGATGGCTTTTCAGCTAAGTGTAAACCCAATTTTTTAAGACTCTTCAAACTATCAAACGGCACTGAAGGTAACTTTTCATTCTGCTGGGTTCCACTCCCCCCTGATATTAAGATAAATATAGCCTTGAATGATTATACACGAGTCTAGGTTACCGAAAAATAATAACACGTAAATTTCACGTGTCTCAGTTATCCCATCGAGAGTTCTAGAAAATTCGCTAATGAAATGTAAATAAGACTTTCTGCCATTTCAACTAAATTCAGATTAAAAAAAAAAACTGGCTGTCAGGAATTTTACTAAAGAACATAGGATGCAACGAGAATTTTAACACATTAATTTTACCTGAGATGTTACGAAACCATGAATAAAAGTAAAATAACTAGCTCTCAGTAATTTACTGAGCCATTGCATAATTCGTAGTGCAATCACTTATCTTCTACTTTTATGATATGTTTGCATTGTTCATGGTCTATGGTAATTTTACGAAGTTGATTTTAATGAGGGCGGTTTCCCCTTACATGATATTGTTGGAACTATTGTCTTTGATTTTCTTCTCCACTAGGGCATCCCAAAGTCGCGACTTTATCTTTCAAATCGGCACTTTGACGTTCCATGGAATCAACAAACGCCTCACATTTAGCCACTCAAATCTACCAATGCATTACCTTCACCAGGTTTTTTTTTTCTAGTGGTACATCGCCGACCCCAGTAACTTTATTTAGAGAAAGTGACACGTCACTAACTCAACGCTAAAAAGAGTAAAGGTTATCAAGAAGAGAAACCTTCGTTGTCCTGGCTTACGTAATTGTTTTACCTGCAGTTCCACGTTAACGGTAGGTTGAAATGTTCAAATGTCAGCAGGACTACTGAATTGTTGTCAGGAGCAATATAGTTCCAAGTGCAATCACTCCAGTCGACGTAATAAGGAAACCCAGGACTAGTAATCTCGCCAAAGTGACCAGAAATGAGTGCTCTACATTCTTTGATGTATTAGATAAATCAAAACATTATTAAGATTAATAATGAAATCCTAGTAAACTTTATCGTATCATTCGGATTTGATTTGTTTGTCGTATTACTTAGTCGAGTAAAGCGCGTCGAATGAAAATACAGTAAATAAACAACAACTGATCCATTCTAACAAAGTGAAAGTGAATAAAACAGTCAAAATATTATTCTAAAAAATACTCAATTCACTCAACTGTCGTGTCAGAACAATTTGCAAATAATAATACAACAAAAAATTATATTAAATGAATATGTGACTATAGGCGTGTCGACGAGATTCCCATCTGGTGTGATCATTTGAAAACTAATGTTAGCAACGAGAAACCAAATTTTCTAACTCGTGATCAAGTTTATGTTTTAAAATAACCAATAAGAAATAATGACACTAAAAAACATACGTGTTCTGATCCAAATCCAATTCTTTGGACCTTCTCCTACAGATGTAAACGCTCTGTTGTAAATTTCATATTCTGTGCCAGGCTTTAAATCAGTTAGCAAAACCTGCAGCTGTTCTGGCCCCACAGTAACATTTTTATAAAGGTAGTTCTTGTTCTCACGGTAAAACACTCTGTATCCTCGTAGAATGCCACCCGTATCTTCTTGTGGCAGGGCATACCAACTCACAAAAATACTCTGATGATCCAAAGCGAAGGCGCTTTTGTACGAAGGCTCACGCAAGGGTACTGCAAAAATACAAGTCGTTTCTTAGACAGGCGGTAATACAACAATTCAATATATTTATAAAAATTAACGAGGAACAGAAAGATATAGCTTATTTCATTATCCAATTAATTGATTTAATGTATCCATATCGCAACAAAGTTCCCGGATCAAAACTAAGAATATCTGGAAAATCATTTGACTTTCTCGCAAGGATCATATGCGGCATCGTGTGCAGTTTGTCGGCAGCTTAAAAAAAACCCCATCACAGGAGAAAATGGGAATTATTTCCACAGAATCGCTTGTGTTTGTTACGTATTTGATTACCGCTTTTTTCTTTTGCTTTTTTATCGACCACATCTTAACTGCAGGTGCTGTGTTTTTCGAATCTAAGCATGCATGTCTACATTTGTTATGTTTGTGTATGGAAGTACTAAGACAACAGATTATCCAAGCGAAACACACCTATTTGCACAAGCGTAGAAATTTTTTAAAATACTTGGAAGCTACGTTACTGAAATGTAATGTTATCTCGCAATTAGTTATTTTCCAAAATGGTGGAGTCTTAGTAACTCAGTGGTCCCTAAATTGTGGGCGTCATCTCATTCACTGCAACAGTAAGTAACTAGGGGTTACGTGGACGTCAATCACCGCTATCGTCATGCGCCTTTTTCGGACTACTCTCATCGGGAAGATTAGAACGATCAGACTACACGATGCAGCAAACATGTTGTTCCTAAATTTTGCCTCTTTCACTTTTGCTTTAGTGGGCTAGTGAACAGACAATCAATTTTTCCTGAGTTCCTCCTTTCTTAGATTATTATTAAGTGGAATCGCTTTTTTGTCTAGGTGTCTCATCCCAACTTACCTATTTTAAAAAGTAACTCTTGAAGGCTCAGCATGTCTACCATGCTTATGTTTTTACACTCGTATTCAGAGCTGGGTATATCATCGAGAAAAAAAAAAGCGTGACTCAATCCGTCTTTATCATGAACTTTGTGCCATCGAAATGAAACGCTAGCTAGCTCGCAAACTCATTTAACATTTCCATTCACAAATCTTCATGGAAGACTGTTTCACGACACAAAACTCATCTTCTCACGAACGTGGCCCATGAAAACGCCCGTTCTTGCCAATCATTACCTTTGCAAAGTTAGTGACGTAATGCATAAAGAAACGGATATAACGCAACGAGGAGGTGCAGAGTCTATGTATAGGTTTTTCATTATATCTACCCGCATATAGCAATTTTTTTTGGGGGGGTTATTCAAATGTTGCAGTCTCAACATTATAAATAATCATGGTTAAAAGATCAAAGAATTCACTCACCGCCCTCTAGAGTTTCAATATCATTAGTTGGGCTACTTTTCAATGAAATAACACCTGTCATCTGTTCTCTGACAAGAGCCACAACTTTCACTCTGTACTTCATGTAAGGTCTAAGACCACTCACCACCGTACTCAGGAAGGAGAAACTTCTATTCGCGGAAGGAGCATTTGTCACATTCAGCAAAAGTATGTCACCAATACCACTCCTCATCATGTGTAAGGCAGCAACATAACCGTATATGTAGGAAGAATTTGAGTGGTAAGTATTCAGCTGAGACCAACTCACTTCCATCTCTGTGGAGCTGACTCTCACAACTGTAACATTCCAGTCATGTTGGTGGAAACCTAGATGTAGAGAAAAACAAAGCAAACTTTATAGCCATTTTGGTAGAAAATAGCTCATTGTAGCTCACTCAGGTGGATTCACGGTAAAACCTTGATTATGGTTCAAAGTAGGACTTAAAGGAGGGGTGCTAACGGGGAGAAAGAGGAAATATTTCATCTAAACAGAAATAAATTACTTAGATCCATCCCTAATCCACTTACTGTCTGCTCTTGAGTTGTTCATAATAAAATAATGAGCCTTCAGTCGAGTATTAGTATTGTACGGGTACACGCGGACTCTAACATAGCTGTCCAACACCAAAACTGCAAAAGGTACTTGTTGATAGCAGCCCTGATACCTTGATTGTCGATGGCTTCTTACCCGTACACCATACCTAAATACCAATGGAAAGTGGTAAATGATGATATACGTATGTATACCTACAAGTTAAAAAAAATAGAAACGGTCTTGTCTTTAAATAAATTTTTTATCGCTTTCACTTCCAAGGTTTCCATCCTCGTACCCTTGTAATTAGCACATATATCCGTATGTATCCGCATGAAATCCTTAAATGACTCTTTTAGAGAACTATCTTTGTTTTTTCGAGTACATATTTCTATCTGGTAGCCATTTTACAGTTTATATGTATTTGAAGGCATACAAATGTATATATACATATATTCATATATGTATATGTATATGTATATGTGTATACGTATATTCATATATGTATATGTATATGTATATGTATATGTATATGTGTATGTGTATGTGTATGTGAATGTGTATATGTATATGTGTATGTGCATATGCGTATGTATATATGTATATGTGTATATGTATATGTTATATATATATAATTGTTACTAGAACTCTCAGGCCAACAAAGGTGCACGGCGCCAGGAGGATCAATAAAGATTCGCAGTCCAAACCTCACAGCAAATACGAACGTAGAGAGTTAAAAAAATGCGAGGATGGACAACTTCTGACGTAAAAAAGATAGAAAATTTACTAAAATCGTTTCGGTCCGAGACTTACTTCATTTATTTACCTAATAAATAACTAATAATAATCTAATAACTGAAGAAGGTCTCTGACCGAAACGTTTTTATTAAATTTTCTATCTTTTTTACGTCAGAAGTTATCCATCCTCGAATTTTTTTAACTCTCTCTTTCTCTCTCTCTCTCTCTATATATATATATATATATATATATATATATATATATATATATATATATATTTATATACATATATACATATACAATATTTATGCCATCAGAAGTCTATCATTTTTTTTTCTCAAATACATGCACACATACATACATACATACATACATATATATATATATATATATATATATATATTATATACGTACCGAGATTTACGGGCCAAAAGGGAATCGAAATAAAAATAGTCTCTTCGCGCTAGAGAAGCCAGCAGATTGGACATATGTTTTTTTTCACCAGTGAAAAACGACCTATTGACGCTCTAATTGGCTATATCATTATTCTATATATAATTTAAATGTAAAGTATTTTAAAAGGAAGCCATTTCCACCGCACGTTGTTTCCCTTTGAAATGAAATAAAGATATGTTTATTTTTGAGTTATGAATCTCGGTATGTGTATAACAAAAAGGTTATTTCACAGTCAGTTCGCTTGTACGATTTTTATTCACAATTCAAAATCGTACGCGCTCACTAACCGTGAAATAACCTATGAATACAACATACATTTATATATTTCTATAGTTCAAAATGACTAAAATGAAACACGCATGATTCCCTGCAACTCTGAGTTTCGTGCTTACGCACTCGTCAGACAGATTTAATAAAAAACATTCTTGTAGGCTAATTTAGATATATAAAAAAGGTAGCTGCTAATTAAAATAGGTTGTTGTCATGCAATGGGTGAGAAAAAGCGAAAATTACAATGGGTGTGGATGTATTAATAAAGGACAATGAGGCAGTAGGTGTGAATATATTGACAAAAGTCTATTGTAGCGGGGAGGCGTCAGATGCGTGTTTCATTTTAGTCATTTTGAACTGTATTTCGCCCTACACTCATGTGTATTGAGCACTTTCCAACAGCATTTGCTACAATTTCCCACAATTATATTTATATATAGATACACACACACACACACACACACACACACACATATATATATGTATATATATACATACATACATATATATATATATACATACATATATATATATGCCAGAGAAGAAGAGAAAAGTCATTATCTATCTACCGATCTATCTATCTGTCTATATATATATGTATATATATATATATATAGATATATATGTGTTGCTCACTTAGAGTGTGAAACTCGATTTACAACACTTCTTTTTCAAAATTATATATTTGCTTTGTAGACAACCTATATATATATAGAAATATTTTAAGAGGAAAAAAGGACGCAACTACATTTTCCCGACAAGCCTATTTCGTGAATCGCTTCTTTCTTCAGGGATTTAATCTTTTAATTTTAATTAAACCCCTGAAGAGTGAAGCGATTCACGAAACAGGCTTGTCGGGAAAATGTAGTTGTGTCCTTTTTTCCTCTTAAAATATTTATTCCGCTCTGCTTCAACGTATTGAGCACTGTTCCACGCGAAAATCAACTTGCAGACTCCCTATATATATATGAACTTAGTTTGTTTACAAATCAAATATATAATTTTCAAAAAGAAGTGTTGTAAGTCGAGTTTCACACTCTAAGTGAGCATCAGACGAAAGGTTTCCGAGCCGAAATAATTAACGTTTAAGTTTACATTTAAGATTCAATAAAGAATGGAATTGCGTTTCGATTAAACGCAAAGTATATCCACCTTTCATCAAGGTGGAATTGTGAAGGTTGTATACGCACAGCGTCACTGCTAAGTGTAAACTGCAGCGAGATGGGTTTCCCTTATATGCGCTAATCATCTTGATGATGTTGTAGACTACGTTTCGGGTTTCCCCCCCCAGACTCCCTCCGTGTTGTAGCAGCTTCCTACGTGCTTTACAACGGAACAGAGCACAGTCAAGGCTTCTTTTCTTGTCAATCAAAATACATACATTAAACTACCTAGTATGATCTCAGCCTGGTATGAAATCAAGTTCTTACCCGCAGCCAGAAAGTTCTTCAAAAACCAAAAGTACGGTGGAGTTTATCGCCGGGGATTGTATTATCCAATTACAGTATCTTGAATAATATTTGTATGTACTTCTGAAACTGAGGTCACCTGAAGGTTCATCAAAGTTCCGTCCACACTCTGTAACATAAAGTTTATAGAATGGGTGAAAACGTTGGTCTGGCAAGTATGTACAAAAAACGTTTTATCATATAAACTATGGTGTTACACATTGATTTCTAGAAAAGCCTTAACAATACGCATGAAAAAATACGATATTTTTTTGCGTGTGTTTGATATCGCCAATCAGCAGCTGACAAGTCATTCGCCTCCGAACCACTCGGTCAGGCCGATGAATGAACGGCAAAGCCTTCACCATTCTCAATCCAAGGTCGTTTTTCGGAAGTTTTTCGGACTATGGCTGCTACAACACTGAAGGATCCGTATCACTTACAGACCCGTATCACTTACAGACAATGACGTCCGAACTTTGCTAGAAGGGGTAGAAAACCAAAATACGAAAAAAAAAAACCGAAAGTTACGTATTTAGTGGCTTTGATAGTGGCTTTTTTCAACTGGAAAATTTGCTACTGGTCGATTTCGGCCGTGTACCTGATAGATTTCCTCTGTCGTTAAGGACCAATTCGAAAACTGAGAATTTTGTGTGTTGAAAACTAGGCCCATTGTTTGTTTTTGTAATGATTCAACGCATGTTTTCATCTTGAGTGCACCAAGGCACTTTACGATTTTTTTTCGGGAATTGTCGTTTCTTATATTTTTGTTCATTAATAAATTAGACCTTTCTCGTCAGTTAAGGGCCTTTGTGTTTTATATGATAAACAAAGCAATACGTGGTTACTTGTGCATATGAAATTTCTCTTCTCGTGTTCAAGTCGACATGTCACTCATTCGCTACGCTCACTCGTGAGCTATCAAGTTGAACACTCGAAGAGAAATTTCATATCTACGCACGCCCATATATTATTCTCTATGTAATTTTTTCTTTATTTTTTTTTAAACAATAACGACAACAACAACAAAACTCTCAAATGAAGTCTAGAGGTACAGAAAAGTACATCTGTTCTATGCTGACAATTGAGTTTGGAGATGCTTATTCACTTCCAGTTGCTATGGTGATTGTATTCCAATTCCGTGGTGTGCGTGTATAAAGAGGTATAAAAGAAAATGTTAATGATTTCAGATCACAAGATCATTTTAGCGGTTAATTCGTGTTTGTAGTATGCGACAGGTTCAGAAATTAGTTTTCTTTGATGTAAGCTCGCAAAAATTAGTCGATCAGGAACTGATTGGTATACGCAAATAAAAAACCCAAACACTTCGTAAACACCACGCGTTTGTCTGAGTGATGGAAGATCTTTTAAATTTAAAATTTGAAAATATTATTGGGTTAGGCTAGTCAGAAAACGAGGCCACAAGTAGGAATGATCCGCTTTTTCATCAACGTACCCAACTATATTTGACGGTCAAATACGTTCTTTCTTTTCACATACGCCTCTTTACTTTTGTTTTGAATGCACTGCACGTTTTTATGGTAAAATTACATTTAGGAATGAGATTTGTTCATTACACATACCTGTCTCAGCATATCTATAACGACCTGCGCCTTCCCCTACAGATGTACGGCCTGTAACTTTGATTTGATATGTCGTTGCCTCCTTTAGACCAGTTATAGCAAATACTCGAGTGCTTGAGTTCACACTATGAGTAAAGCTGTTATTTGAATTGTATTTTCTATAGTGCACAGTGTATCCAAGAAGTATTCCATGAGCATCTTCACTAGATATTGGATACCATTCAATCTCCAGTCTGTCGACACCTCGATTGCTCACGTACAACCATGGAACACGATCGGGAACTTGGAAAAGGGAGAGAGAGTATAATCTACTAACTGCTGTTAACATCTCCTACATTGGAAAATTAATTTAAGATACTTTCCAACTTTTTGTCTTTCTAATCATTGGAATAAGCTATTTCTGTTCTTTTGTGCATCCTTATTTGCAGCTTCAAATTATAACTATATAATATGTTATGACATCAAGCAAAATTTACTCACCGCCCTCTGGAGTTTGAACCTCACTGATTGAGCTGATCTTGGGTGTAATTACACCTGTCATCCGATCTCTGACAAGAGCCACAACTTTCACTCCGTACTTTGTGTAGGGTCTAAGGCCACTCACCACCGTATCCAAGAAGGAGGAGTTTGCCTTCGAGGCAAGGGCATTTGTCACATTTAAGACATGTATGTCGCCAGTGCCAATTCGCAGCATGTGCAAGGCAGCAACATAATCATATATGCAGGAGGAATTTGAATTGTAAGTATTTAGCCGAAACCAACTCACATAGACCTCTGTGGAGCTGACGCTAACGGCTGTAATGTTCCATTCACGCTGTTGAAGAGCTTCAATTTGAAGAAATACACAGCAAACTTTAATTAAGCTATATGGTTTTCATATAATGTATCATATTAACATTGTGATCTTGATTCTTCTCAGATATTAGCTGTAGACACTACAGATAATCACAAGAAAAAGTACGCATCGTCGAAAAGAAAATTCGTACTGAAGTGGCCATTGATCATAAAATTTGATGGCAGACTCAGGACTGCAGTTTGCTACCGATTCTCGCTAATAATTTTTTTGTAAATGTGAAGGCAGTTTTTCCCTTTATGGGTATAAATCTGGTTTAATGTGTATGCGATTGTTCCAGATATGTTAACATTCATAAATTATTTGTAAAAACGCGATGATTTCGTCGTAAGAAAGTTTGGCTCAATTTTACTTGAGTAAACTGCATCAAAGATTTGAAATCATAGTCGGTTTAAACTACAGGTCTATGGGAAATCTGCATGCATATGTACGTTTTCAGTATTGAAACCAGGATTGTAACTGCTTCGAATGTCTCTGCTACGTGTCATACGGGTACAGGCAGGTGTTATAAAAAATTTGCTTACTTTTTTATTACTAAACATTTCTTTTTCTAAGATTCTTGTTTATTCGGCCTACGTTGCGTTCTAATTGTCGACTAAGTTTTATGTTCTTTTGAATATTCTTAAATATCCTAGCATCAGTTATCAGTAGGTCTTTTTAAAAATTTTTACATAATTTAATGACGTTTTGCAAATTTATGGCGGGTTAATTTTTCCCCTGACCCTTTTAACAGTTTATTATGAGTAGGGTTGGTATTAGCTGTAGTAGTATAGACAAATTACAGTTTTGTGTACAGTTTATGAATCAAACTTATGAGTTACCAAGGTTAACAAGTATGGCTTTTCACAATGATAGCTTCCAGGCTTATAAAATGTCACTCTCCTAAAAATTTTCCATAAAATCTGCTGGCCTGCTAGAATTTTTCAGTCCCTTTTCCTGACAGCCCAACCTCATCACAAAATTAACTACAGGGGCAACAGCAAAAGAATGACACAAACAGCCGAGCGTATTCCCACATACATCCTCCTTAATCCTGTTAGCTTATCCAAAGATAGCATTTCAGACATGGCACACACTTGCTTGCATAATAATTTTATAATGGCGTTTAAAAGTTGCGGAATATGGTTGGGTTGAAACATATTGAAAGGATTCGCCAGCTTGTCACAGCCTAAGTGGAAAAATGAAGGAAAAACCTGCGCATTCAATGTATAACCTGAGTTGTTGCATGAGTCGGCCAATTTTTAACAAATATCCAAGCCTTATCAAAACTTTTATATTTGTCACTGTGATCCAGTGAAAGTTTAGGAGATGGTCAAATGCATTTTTATTTCAGATCAATAAATTTATTGTTGTGTTTCATGTTAAAATGTCGCCAGAACTCCACCTTCCAGGAAATTCATATTTTTGCCGACATGAGAGACTACCATTAATTTAACACTTTCCAACCTCTTTAATGGGGCCAATAACAGCACTATATCACCTTTAAAATTATAGAGAAAACTTGAAACCTTTCAATCTCACGGTAACATCTTAATTCAAGTTGGTTTCAGTCGTTTCTTTCAATTTTGGCTCATTTTTCCAAACCGAAATTATCATTCGCGATCAATAGAATATCATGTCAACTGATACTGACATCACACACTACATCTGAAGGGGTAAACATTCTCTTAAAACATCAACGAAGGAGTTCAGCTGCTTGAAATACCGCTGACTAGCATGCGGGTTGACCGCTTTGCAAGTTGTGAGGACATCGTTCCACGGTTTTAGCTGACCCAGCACTCAAAACTGTACTCAAAACCGTCTTTCAAGAAATACACGTACGCAATATGTTTTTAATTTGGAAACATTTTGTTTTGTGTTTTGCAGCCCATTTCGACTTATTAAACCTCTAATTAGGAGTTGATCATTTACATTTAAGGTCAGTAAGATGGATTCTCGGTAAGTCATTGAATCTGTAAAATATCAAGATTATCGCCAAATGCAAGAGGGGGGCTTAAAGGAAGGGGACTTAAATGATGGATACTCGTTTGTTCAAACTGATTGAAATGTAATACGTAGAACATTTGTTAATTAACTTACCACTTGTGTCTGAGTTGTTCAAGAGAAAATAATGAACTTTTAGTCGAGTATTAGATCTGTACCAGTAATAATTCACTTCCAAGTAGTTATCCAACACCAAAACTGCAAACAGCACCTTTTGATTGCGGCTCAGCCACTCGCTTTTCTGACGGCTTCTTATATGAGTATAAGACCTTAACATCAAAGAAAAATTGCAAATGATGATTAGTCTTGCGTTAAATCACTTGTTAGCTTGGTAGAGCGCTGCACCGGTATCTCATAGGTGATGGGTTCAAATCCCGTACAGGCCTGTTTTTTTTTTTTCAGACCTTATTTTCACTACTGCTCAAGTAGTGTTCATTACTGCGAAGATCGCTTTCATATTCACAACAATTATAGTCTAGTATTTACGTGCCAGTTTGGCATTCGCATGACAAAAACATTAGAGAAACGCTGCGGCCCAGCGCAAAAATTTTGACATAAAAATAGTCAGTTAAATAATTTCTCAATTTGTATGATGCAGTAAAAACTCCATAAATCAGTAGCTGTTACAAATTCATCAACCTCCCACCCCTCCCCGCGTACAAGTAGTTTGTCTTCCACCCCTCCCTCAGTAACAACAGCCTGCCTACCACCCCTCCCTGAGTACTGATACTCTGCATCCCACCTCTCCCTAAGTACTAATGGTCTGCCTCCCCACCGATAAAATGGTCCAAAATCGTCTAAAAAACCGCCCAAAAAAACGTCCAAAAAATAGTCCAATGGTTTAAGGCTCCAATGGTCCAGTCCATTTTTTTCCCTATGCCGAAATTAAAGATATGTGGCAGTGAATTAAAATGATTTATTTCGTGAGTAAAGCACAAGGTTTATTTTCGTCCACTGTCAAAGTGCCGCCAATTTCTACATAAGATTATTCCATGAGGTCAGACGTGGACGAATTCGGTAACAGTTATTACCATATTGCCAATCAACAGGAGTCCCCATAAAAAAAACTTGTTTCTACGCATCGCGTATCCCCAGGTTAAAAATGATGCAAGTTATCCATGTTGTGGTCACTGATTCAGGTCAACTCTCTCTAATCACAAGTCGCTTAGTTTAAATCGAAACATATAATAATCACTGAGTTATCAATGAACGCCGGTGAACAAAGGCCGAGTAGCTATCAACGATGAGCTTGATAAACAAAAAAGTGAGAATGATGAAGACGACAGCACAATTATTTATTTCTTACCAATAATTGACTTTGTAATGTTCAAAAACCAGTAGTATGGTGGAGTCCTCCACTTGTGAATAAATCCTCCATGTGCAAGGCTTATGGTAGAATGCGCTGCCTGCGTCATCAATTATGCCAGTTGTTTCATTCTTCGTACCTCCACATACTTTAAATTCGAAATAGCATAAAAATTAATTACATTCAAAATCAACCTTAAAACATGAAACACTGAAAACAGGTCTTGACTTCTTTCCAAGGGTTATCATCGTTTTTCCTTACAAAAATAAGAGACGACCTTGTAAAAAAGTCGCATTTGTCTAAAGTATCAACAAATGAACGTCGAACGAGGTTTCTATATGGAAATACACGGCAAGAATGATAGAGTTGATAACGAAACTAACGGTGATACAAGCATATGCACCGACAAACAATGCGATGGATGAGGAAAAGGATGAATTTTACAACCAGCCGCACGACTCTGTTGCAAGCTGCAGTGGTCATGATATGATTGTGGTTAAGAAAGATCTGAATGTTAAGGTAGGGAGTAACAAAATTAACAGAGAGGAGGTAATGGGGAAATTTGAATGAAAATGGGGAAAGCTTATGTTGCTTTTGTGGTACGAATGGATAAGTTGCAACCAAAAAAGTTTTCCCACATAAAGAGATCTTTAAGCTGACCTGGAAATCACCAGATGGGAAAACTGTTAACCAGATCGACCATGTTTTCATGAATGGACGCATGAGAACATCGTTTCTGAACACAAGAGTAACGAGAGGAGCAGAGGTATATAGTGACCACCAGAATAAGACTAAAGTTGGCAAAGGCCCATGGGAAGAAGAAAGCAAGGGTGAGGGCTGAGGAGTAGAGACATCAGGAGGAGATATAACACTGAAGTGAAGAACAGGTTTGAAGAGATAGGAGACATAAAAGATCCACAGGAAGAGCACGACAAGATCTTGGTGACGTACAAACATGCCGCAAAAAAACTTATCGGAAGGTCAAAAAAGTAGAGCAAGCCATGGATAGGAGACCAAACGTTGGAAAAAAATTCAGGAGAGGAAAGAGGCAGAACTAAAAATAGAGGGTGCAAGATCGAAACGATTAAAACAGCGATGGAGAGGGGAATATAGTGCGAAAGATAAGGAAGTGAAACGGAGTGCTTGGGGGGATAAGAGGAATTGGTTGGAGGAGAGGGCTGCAGCAGCAGAAAAGACTGCTTAGAATGGTAGAAACAAGGAGCTATACAGCACAACCAACACAATAGCCGGGGAAGGAGGCGAGAAGTGGGTGTAATGGAAAAACAAGGGGTGCTCAAGACAAAATCACAAGAAAGATTTCAGATATGGGTGACCCGACAAATCCAATGGAAGAAGATGAAATAAAAGAAATGGAGGAAGTTGAGGGATAGATGTTGGAAGATGGCAGGATGCTGCTAGAACGGATCAGGAAACGTGTAGACAAGAAGCTATGAAAGGAGCAGGCTGGATTAAGACCAAATAGAGGTACAACTGAACAGATATTTATATTAAGAAACAACTTAGAGCAGGTAAATGAATGGAGGGCGAATCTTTACACGCAGTTTGCAGACTTTGAAAAAGATTTCCATTCGGTACACAGAGAATGCTTGTGGAACATCATGGGGAGCTATGGAATTCCGCGCAATACATATACAAAGGGTTTGAATACGCAGTAATCGACGGATGCGAG